ATTTGCACGTATAATTCGATCGTATTTCTACTGTTTTTGCGTTTACGTAACCAGCAGCGATTCGTTACGCAATGAAAATGATGAGGTTACGGTCCTCCCCCTATTCCCCGCGACCCGAAGCGTTACTATGGCCATACGAGCACTTTTGTATTTTGATTCGCGACAATAAAATATCTTTGATTGTTTTGTCCCGATTAAAGGAGAAAGGACGAGAACGGATAGCTTTTCACATCGGCATGTTTTCAATTTTTTTTTGGTTTTTAATCTCTGATTCCCAATAAATTCAATACATCGCGATAACGAATATGCTAAGCACGTTACCGAACGTGACTATTTTGCTGATCGTAGTCTCTTGCTACAAAACACGCGACGCGTAAATATGTGTGGAAAAATAAAAGATCGCTGAAGAAATGAAGAACAGATATTCACGGAGAACATTTAATTAATAGCTGAAGCGTGTAGACAAAATATAATTTTCTTTGCGTTTCTGGAAAAGCGACAGCATAGAACGTAGGTTTGATTACGTAACAACTTTGGAAAAGCATGCGTAATAATTGAATGACGGAATCGTTGTTGTGGCTATCCATTTAATTTTCTGCGTGATTATATGTGATTAAAAGACTGGGGCACAGTTACAGCTATTAACAGAGAGAAACATCCCGGTTACCCTTCTTATTTAAGAACAAATTTATCTCAAGTAATGTTTAAGTAAAATATATTTTTTCTCATCCGCTAAAAATACATCGGGAGAAAATAATTATTATTTAATTTAATTAAAATTATAGTCATTTCCGGCATCAAATCCGGTATCTTCTTTACTGTTCTAACAAAAAATTAATAACAATATAGATTTTAGGTTATTATCACTAATATTATAGTAACATTTATTAGAAAAATGATACCAAATATACCAAATATACCCAACATCTATTTTCTCAATAAATATATACAAAATTTTTAATATCAGATGTTTGTACTGTACATATGTATTTTTTACTTTTTGCAGATATTGCTAAAGTTACAAACAAATTTTCATCACATTGCACGATTAAGCATAATACCATAGTTTATCATTTAATTACACAAGTTGGACTTTGATCGGAAAAAAAGAATGTCAAACGACGTAATAATGGTGATATAAAAATTCTATCGCTATCTCGTTTCAATTATCGCCGGTCTTGCACATTAGTAAAGCACGGTTCAGAGAACCATGAGGCCGATAAGAAATTTATGCATTTTGCATAGAAACGAACGATTTGTCAAGCACGATTCATTAACAAGCAGAAATAAGTATCCATTAACCTGCAGGCTATTCGGAGGGATGTCCGCGATCGTGTAATTATGTTGTTGTTATGTTATTAATTATGTTGTTATTTTTCTGCCAATTTATCGGAACCGTTACGTGGAAAGTTTTTGTTTTTGCACAGAGATTTATGCGTCGCGAGAGATCTTGTTGACGAATTATGTAAATGCCGAGAGCTTTAAGTGAACAGGAAAAGAAAATGCAACGTACTAATGCTAATGCATGCTAACATTTCTTGAGGTCGCAATCGGCAATCTGAAATGAAATTTCCTCAAAAGTGACTCACTAATATCGAGAGCTACCGAAGTACACATCGCTTACACAATAAGAAGCGCAAAGTCCACGCGTACAAATCAGTAATGATAACGTGTGGCATTGGCGAGGAGGAAACATCACGTAGAAATTCGCTCGCGTATTTACTCGGCTGTGAATCGTGACATGTCCTTTATTCCCGTTCGTTATCAGTAACCTCGAGATAATTGAAACCGATGATAGTTTGCCCTTAATTGCATATACACGTTCGATAATACGCATCATACGTGACTATATGAGACATTTGTCTCAGCTGAGAGACGGACATATGATGACGGACTTTATATTTTGAGTGAGTTTCATTGAGATAGATCGCTCGCGACAAAGATAACGGAAACTGTTAGTCCTGTAACGTCATGGAAAGAACGGCCACTGCTCATGCATTTGATACACAATAATCTTAATTTATTTGCAATTATTTTTGTAAATTGCGCAATTGGATTTTATAAAACTATGTCAGTGCCGCAAATAAAGAAGTCGTCCAGTTTGGATTAGTCAGAGAATAAAAGGTAACATTATACTGACCGTATTATTTTGTTATCAGATCATGATAACATCAATAACGAAAATTTGATGAAAACACGGAATAATAGTAAAATAAAAAATATCGCGTTAAATCTGTCCGGTACATAATAACTCCTCGGACTATAATGATTACGCAAGTCAATATGAATCGCTTGTCACGCCGTATCTAGGTGAATTCTAATGAATAAATGACGTCTAACAATCTGCTAGAAACGAAGCGAGACATTAGCATCTCGTTAAGGAACTTCCATGCCAACATTGACCTCGGTTCAAACCGGTTTCGCACAGTGAATCTTTGCACGGGAAAAAAAGAATTATAGCGGATGACGGGTGGAAAGTTTTTCTGGCTATGCAACATTTCGGACTAACTGATTTCGCCACGCGAGGGGATGTTATCTGTTATCAAGCGAGAGGAGATATGGTAAAAAATGTTATTTATTTGAAATAAAGGATACTGTTAAATAGACATAGCTTTGCGATTATATAAGGCATTACTTCGTATATATCAACTGCCGGGTAGTGCAAAGAAAAACTGTGGAAAGATCTAAAGCCACACACACACACACACATAATGCACTTTGAATCTTCCGAGTGTACGAGGAAAACGCAGTTATTATTGCAATTTTAAATAGAAAACACGATATTACACTACAAATCTCAAGACATACGATTAAAGTTTAAAAAAAAAATATATATATATATATATTATAATCGCATACGCGCACTTAATATTTAATTGCAACAAATAATCACCATAATATTTTTGGCTTCATTTTCCTTCATGTGAGAATCTATTTACATTACGAATAGTACAATAAATCGTTTCTGCTCTTGCTCATCAAACGAATAAAACCTGTGATATCACTTGAAATTAATTCGAAAATGATATACTAAGTATCAATGCAATGCACCGTATCAGACAATACGGAACGAAGTATCGAGTAAGGTACAGAGTTCTCTGTTACGTAGATTAGCAATATCTAATCATCTTTGCATATGCTCAATCGTTGATACGTTGTCATGTTTTTAGATGATTTTAGCCGCTAGAAAAGTGCAGCACACATATCCGTCCGTCGCGTCAATTTTTTCACATATTGTCCCGACTGCGACGAATTTCGCAATGCAATCTCAAGAAGTCAAGAAAGTCTGCCGTAGAAGACTAATTCGAGAGGAATCGTCCCGGCAGTTAGAATATTTTCTTACACATCTATCTCTTCGACTCTTCGTTGATACGAGACGGCCTTTTCGACACAACCTTGCTCATTGCAAAAGTCAAACGATTTCCTACAGAATACTCGTAGTAGAATAAAATGATCGAGTTAGTAAAACAAGCTGGATTTAATTGCTCATTATCTAGTTATTATCTGACGTGACATATGGAACTCAATATAATTTCTGGGAACGTGTAATCAACAACTAATGAACGATAATGTGACAGCCGCAAAGTACAAATTCCAAAATGCCATCGTTTTACGTAGTTGGTGATTATCAGCCGGATTTATCGACGATTATCGGTCGTGTATCTATCTTATCGTAGAAAAGAAATCGTGACTCGCTGATCAAAGCTATTGGTTCGCGCGAGTTACGAAAATACGCTTCCACCGAAATGTTTAAATGTCTAATTAAAGTAGTTTGAAAGGAATCGGAAGGAATTTTGATGTAACGTAAAATATTACGACTATAAGACGCGCGGCTAAAACGTAGTAAAATTGATAAATATACCGTAACTGTACAAAGTAACAGTTCTTAAACTCTTAAAATAATGTATCTTGTGTAATAATGTGTTCTTAAAATAATGTATATGTATGTACTATTTCGACTTGTTAGCTTAATGAAATCCTTAATTAATATATTTTACGTAAGAAATATACAAGAGAGAATATGTATGTTTGACACGTGGACATATGTTTAGTACATTGTGAGAATTCGTGTAAATCTGGTGAATAATTTGCATCTAATCGTCATGATGGTTTATCATATCGGTTTATGATTTCGAGATGACTTCAATAGAAGTAACTCGAAAAGAATATAAAACAATCAGATGTAAGAAAAACTTTTATAAGTCAGACTTTTATAATTCTCATTTCGTAAATTTTTTATAATTACTTTTCTTCAATTACATCTAACATCTAATTAATTTAACATCTATTTCTTTAGGTTCGTCGCGTTAAGGAAGAACTTTAATAATTGTACAAATGATCGTTAATTACGTTTCTGTAATATAAGCTTACGTAGCTCTCGTCTTTTTTGTGTTTCTTAACTTTCCGTGATCGAAGTTTTTGCTGTTCGCAAGAAACAAGATAAAAAAACTGCCGACTTGCCGATTCCAAAGTACTCGAAAAGCAAGGTCCAGTTATCGTTTGACGTTTGTTGAGACGTACGTTCTACACACACTGACACACTGGCGATTATGCGGCTCGAATATCAGACGTCACAAGAGGAAAGATGCGATTCAGCGAGAAGAAAACGGAAAAGAAATAGTCGCGCGTCTGATGGCTGATAAGAGACATTTCGATACCTGATTGAACAACCAACCGTAATGATGATGATGGTCGATGTTTTAATGTTGTTCTAAATATAGGATTTTAAGCGCGTGCATTGCATCGTTCTCGCGAGCTACGAAACTGAACTTCACAGGCGATGATTTCTGCGCCAAAGCGCATTTCTTTAAAATTCGTCCCGTACATACGATCAATATTCATCAATATTCATGATCAGTATCGGCAACGCGCAGTTGATATGAAGCTCGAGGGATCGCTTAGTTTTATTTCTTGTAGCTTACGAACTACGCGCGTAATATACGTTTAAGAAGTCACCGCGGAGAACACGATAAAAGTATACAATTTTGTTGGGAACTCACCCGTTAATTCCATTGCCGATTAATCCGTTCTGCATGTTATTTCTTTCGTTTTCTACCATAGCTGCGTTGCTCCGCAATCAACTTATGATAATGCACAACCTGAAATTTAAGAAAAAAACATTAGAAAAACGATGGATCGGTATTTCTTGGAAGTAGATATTATAACTGCATAAAAAATTTGCAAGAGGCGAGACAAACGATGGAAAATAAATTCATCTCAGGAGAACTAACTATAATTCCAGATAATTACGCACGCAAGCAGCGATCGCGTAAATTCATTAGGAATTCAGAGCGTATAATTCACACCTCTCTCGTGTAGTTCCTGATAGCACATGTTACTTTCATATGCGTTTTATAAACATATGAAACGTTTCATCACGTTTTATAAAACGTGTCGAAAACGTTTCTTAAACGATACGTGTTACTTGGGGTATGAATTAAAAAAATATATATATGTTGATATGATAAATATAAACATAATGTTATTGTAAATATAACACAATATAATTACGTGATAAAATTACGTGTTAATTGTGAAACACTAGTATGAATTATATATTATACTATATATAAATATTTATTTATTTATTTATCGACTCATATTTTTGATATTTTCTCTTCTTTTCTTTCTCTCTCTCTGTTCCATTGTATCCCATAATTACAACAATCATTGCACCAAGACTGATGATGTAATTGGTAAGTCAAGTTCAGCACTGCAAATATTATTTCACGATGAATTCACGGACGTCGTAACGATTCGTGGATGATTACGATCGCGCGTAATGTAATTACTTTTTATGATAGTCCGACAGTATAACATTACGTACGGAGAAACGTAGCGCGGTCGGCTACCTCCAACATTATTCACCATATGGCTGTGCCAGATGTACACGTTCTATATTGTCAATAAATAATATTATCCATTCCGACGATTTCAACAACGTTCGGTCTAAGTAACAGAATAACCATATCGGCCTTTCGTAGAAGGCGATGATCATTGCTCTTCTATTACCAGTCGTTACATAACATGCACATCTTCGGTTCTTGAACTTTACGACGGTCATCGCCACAAGCTTCGAAAAAGGTGAACATTTCCCTCTAACGTATTTGTATTATTTTTACATATCATACGACATTAATATCTGATAAGAATTATATCTATGTTGTGATTCTCTTCTTTATTAATTCTTATTCATTCTTATTAAGTTTGCTTTTTTGTGGAAGTATAATAATTTATTTACTAGAGAAAAAGAGAGAGAGAGAGAGAGAGAGAGAGAGACGGAGGAAGGAGGACAGTCTAGAGAGCAAAGTATCATTTCGATTGTGAGAGCAGAACGTCTATAAACAATTCCCCTGTATAAAGAATCCCACTCCCAGATCTTTTAAAACGGTAAATAATTTAGCACCTCAGCAATTTTTGCGTAGCAAAATATAACACCGATACGTCGCAGAAGCACGCGTCATAATGCTAAAAACACGTTATTGAAATGAACGAACGACATAATAGATATACCAACAGCTTTGGTAGAAATTACGAAAAATATTCCGAATCGGCTACTTCTAACAGCGTACATTCACATGTACAACGCATTGTGCCGAGCGATGTACAGAGCTATAGATACCGTTGCAGCTGATGCATTTTTTAAACCAAGCATGCCAAGCCGGTCGGAGCGTCGGAACAATCCGTTGAAAATGCACTTTCATTACGTCTTCTGCACATTCCTGTTGCTATGTAAAGATATATCGCTATCGACTAATTAACAAATACATCCGTGTGAAATATCAAGCAATACCGAATGTATTCATACACCAAATGTAAAACGTGCTTAAATTAAATATTTATTATATACAACTCAATAATATATATATTTGTGTGATAAATTTACCATTGGGAGAGGGAGGGGGGAGGGGGAGGGACGAGTAATCAGTGACGCATGGTTACAACAGTACTTAAGTACATTAGACGTTCGGCTAAATATACTTCTGGAGAATATGTTACACTTTAAATAACTACTTCTTTTACGGTCGATGTATCACGTATTTCCGATTTTGTCTTCTTTCCTTTCCCCTGCCCGTATATTTCTCTACATAGGATCACGTGCACATTCGTATGCGCATGCACATAGCTTTACGGGAAATACCGAGTACAAAGTAAACATTGATATTTACCCAAGTGAGCCGTGCGGGCGTTAGTGCTGCGAGCGCAAGCAGACAACGTGAAGTTTTGCGAGCGTGGACGGAAATTTGCGGCGCGCTCCGGCACTCACGCGTGTTCCGATTCGCGACACCACGTTAAACTAAACAGGCGGATCGATTCTCCGCGTCTACGTGCCTTCTGATCGCCACGAATTCCGGCTCCCCGCTTGGAGATACGAGCAGCGGATTGGTCGTCGATAAGACCTCCGCATCGCAAACTTTGACACCCGTGTTTCTCTTTCTCAGCCGGCTATCCCCACCAGTTCGCGAAAGGCGAACGTCGCGGCGTTCTGCGCGCTCTTCCGTTCCGCACTGCGTTCGCCTGTCAAACGTCTCCTATACGCGTCACAAGGGCGTCTTACGCACGCTCGATGCTTGACAACGACCCGAGTCAGCTGACTAGCCGCCCGAGGCGCGACTGCGGTGTGACGTACATGTGCACGTGAGAGAAGGAAAAAGTCGCGAATCTGGAGGTGAAGTCGAAGTCGGTAATTTTGTCAGTGATTATCGGTGTCGACACGAGGAGCAAATACTCGGTGATTAACCCCTTAACTTGTACGCTCGAGTTAATTCGAGCGCGCTAAACAGGCCAAACTGTGCACATTCGAGATAATTCAAGCGGCGTTGTATTTTATGCTGCTGTAATTTTTCACACTCGAATATAATCGAGAATTGAAAATAACAATGTGAAAGCAAAGAAAAAAAATTTTCTTACATAAAAAAATTGATATTTTTGGCCGGTTTTTTTCAAAAAAACTGTGCGTTAAGGGGTTAATTTACTTAGGCTGAAATTTATTGTCGATACGTATTATGTTACGTCGGCGGAAAACAGAAGTGATGATTGTTTAACTTAAGTTGACCGAAGCTCTCTTGTTATCTTGGTTATCTGTGAATAGAAAGAAAGCTGGCGTTATTGATAACACGAGTGTCTAATTGATGGCTGTTATCAGTAATCGATATAATACTTACCGCCGGTTACTAATGAAGCACGATGACTATAGCGAGCACCAGCTGTAAACGAGGTTGGAGGTTGAACACAATCTCTATTGCAAATACTTCATTCGAAAATTATGTCTATGTTAAAAAGTGCGTTTTCAGAATTTCACAAGCAGGCTCTTTCGAAACGTTCGCGCACGGAGAAAAGTTTTGCCGGAACAGCAAATTGTTAATATAGCGAGAGCAAAAATAAATTTGTTGCACGGAAAAAATAATTTTGCTGTTGTGACGAAACGTTGCAACAGCATAAAATTTAGTTGGCACAACCCAATTATTTTGTTGTCCGTATATCCAGCAAATAGCAATTAATACTTTTAACAAATCTCTTCGCCGTTCCAACGAATTTTTCTTGCTGTCACTACATTAACAAACAATTTTCTGTTCTAGCAAATTTGTTTTCTCCATGCGTGAATAATAATTTATTATCCGTACAACGCGCAGGATTTGTGAAAGTTCGTCAATGTCATACGATAGAACTTGTGGAGACACTTTCAAATATCGTAAGCGCACTCGGATTAGCTAAATTTAATCGCAAATACTTTGAAAATTACCGGTGTATCGATGTATAACGAGTCACAGTTGTTTTTAGTCTCCTTTACAGAATTGTTAAGAAGTACGATTAATTTAACACATTCATTATATATATATATATCATACACGTCACCTCTTTTGTACAATGAATCACAGTTAATATGAAATATTTATTGACACGCTATAATGTAAGAGGACAATGGTTACATGTAGGGACGAGGAAACTCGTATTTTCAGGCACAAGTAAAACGTGTTTCCTACATTGTTGCAAATTTGCGAAAGTACAAAATAATAACACGATTGTCACAGCAAGAAGCAATGACAGCCTTTCCTTCCATCTTCTCGACTGGACACAATGTACGCGAGGACTGGAAAATTCGAAGTTTCTGATTTCTTCAATCGAAGATGGAATTTTGCCGATTACATATGTTTAACGATAACCGTCTCATTTCGTCACATTATCGGAGTCTTCTGGCCTCTCGCTCGGATTCCAGCAACGTCAGGATGTCGCCTTCGCGCACCGGACCTTTGACATTTCTGATAAGCTGTCTGTTTTGCTCGTTCAAAAACTCCACTTTGACTTGCGTGCACTGTCCTTGAGAACCTGTCCTGCCGAGGACCTTCACCACTCTTGCCCGGACTATAGGTTTTTCCATGCTCTATGAAGTTTTTCTAACTTTTTGTGCTGCGTCACACGTAGAACTGCGCACGTAGAATCTGCACGTAGAGCTCTTGTGCAACGTGTTGCGATACTCGCAATACTGCACCGAGCTCGCTCGCTACCGACCCGGACCAGATACGGATCAAATGACATCTTGACAACGTTCCAAGTGAGCGTGGAAGACGCTAAATAAGGACACCCTGTGTGAATTTTGCAAAGAGCGCGTGGATAATTTAGGATATAGATCGCTTGAGATGTAACAAAAAATTCCACTCTCTCTCTCTCTCTGTCTATCTTTATCTAGACTTGAGCAGACTTATAAGCGAAAAAACGTAGTTAGTAATCTATAGTAGTATAGTCTATAGTAGTATATACTATAGTAGCACTATAGTAGCACTGGTGTGTATTTAAAGAATGCTTAAAATAAAACTGGCCTGGCTTTACCATCGGTGGTCGTATAGCCCGCGTGATTTCGACATATCGTCGATCGAAATAACAATGATTCAAAAGCATAAAAATCTTGGAACGCGAAACATCGTTGTTCAAGATATTTCATCGTAATAATCGAAAATATTATCTACTGTGCCACTCGTTGATTTCCCTTTGGCAGAAGCATTCGTTCGAACGTCGAACTTGAACAAGAACTTTCAAAGTATCTCGATGAATCAGCTTTACACAGGGAAAATGATTCGCCCATTGATACAATCGTTTATTCATTTGTGCTTTAGTACAAACGTGACGTCCCTTGCTAAAACCAAAATACGAAGTATTATTTATTTAGCGTCGGTTTGTCAAGGGTCGGCGATGTTTCTCCCCGTCACACGAAAATGCGGCTCCGCGTGACCCGCGCAAATCGACGCGCCGATTCCGTTCTCATCGTCGTCTTGGAAAAGAAAAAAAATGTTTTTTCTGCGCCTGACTTTTCGTACACACTCTCTCTCTCTCTCTTTCTCGCGCGCGCGCAATCATACACGGACACACATTCTTCCCATCATATAAAATTACAGTACGTTGAAAAAAGTCTGCGTATTTGGTATATGCGATACATGGTCGTGACGTTGTACATTGTACCATCCACGTGTGTGTATGCGCGTATGTGTGTGTAGATGTGGTGGCGGTGATATTTAGTAATCCACTAAAAGCGGCGAGTCACGTACGGGATTTTGTTTTTCCTATATGCTGCGCATATACACAAACACACACGCACACATATATCTCGCGTTTTCGCGCTTCCCCGCGAGATCGTCGCGTCGTTGAAGTGAAAAGTTCACGCGCTCGTTGATAATGCTCGCGAAGTGTTGAACACAGTGCGCACGTAATATCTGTTCACGGTACGATCGTGTGATCGGTCCGCCGATTATCCCGATCTCCTTGTTCTTTGAGTGCGACGTGTGCAGCATTCGACAATATTGTGTAAACTTGAGGCTGAATTTAAGCGCAAAATTATTACAGCACGATGCATCGCGCGACCGAGATTAACCGCTAACTGTCGGGGAAATCCTCGCTATCGGCATACCGCACGTTCAGATCTCGGCCGTATTGACGAGTGCAATCGATAGATAGAAAGAAAGACGTTTTACGAGGTAGGTTCGTTATTTTCATATGAAAGTCACGCACCTTTTCCGGGACAAAGTGTGGAAGCAGCGTGCCGGGACCTGAACACGCAACAATTATGTGACTAACGATATATCACGCGTATAAAACTGTTACTAGAACAACAGGCATTTACGAATACCCGCGTCTCGATAAAATTTTCAGTCGCGGCGAGCAAGAATCTTTTCTCCTGCAAGTTTCGCAATCGCACTAATATATGCATCCTCTTTTCATTTGGTTAAAATGTCAAATCAAGGGCGCTCTATGTAATAGCACACAGAAAGTTGATTAAGAAATACGCTCTTGGTGCAATATGCGGATTGTACTGTCCATTTGTCAGCTGATAAACGTATAGAAATAGGGATATAATGGCGTATGAAAAAAAGACGCATAATAATTTAGAGCTGTATGCTTGCGTTGTCGAATTGTTCCCACTTCGGGCGCGATAACTATATTTTGCTTAGACTAGTATAATAAGTACAAATAATGAATAACTATAAGATAACTCCAAAAATATGGAAATTTATTTATACTACCCCAAAAGTTAATACAGATATATCCTTTCCCAGTCTACGTCTTTTTTTCTGCAATATTAGAGTCGTATTATGCGAAAAGCGTATGCACGAGTCCTTTTTTTAACGAAAAAGGGCGCTCGGTTTCGCATTTCAGCGTTGAAAAATATGCATATTTTACATATAATAATCGTATTTATAAAAATTCTAAAGAATATTTTAAGTATATTTTCAGCGGCTTTTAAGTATATCCTTTGAACTAAACGTAAGAAAAATCGAAAGGAATATAAATGAATATTCGCTTGACGCGTTATGATTAAATCGGGTTTAAATCGGGTATTACAATTGCGCAAATTTCTCACTGGTTATTTGATATCTGCTAAGATGTAACCAAAATTTTTTTCTTCTAAATTTGCCAAACAGTCAAACGGCATGAGAAAAAATATTGTGCAATCGAGATAGCAACAGATACAGCAATAGCATCGATAATTCCGCGTTACTGATATATAAAATATTATCTCGATAAAAACTCAACGTCTTAACATTAAGTACTTAACTAATCTTAAGTAATGTTACCGTGACATTCAATTAACTTGTAATAGTCTGTAACGATAAAATAAGTAAATGGTAATGTAAAAATAATATCAAAATATAAATACTAATTTCTTATCACTTACATATATATATATATATATATATACGGATAACGATCATAATGGATAATTTGTTTAACTAAAAATTCATCTGTCATCCTAATAAACGGGATATTTAATTTTAATAGAGAAAATGCGGGCGATTAACAAGCGAAATAATGTGCGGAATTATAAGCCTCGTGACCTTCGCAATAAATCATATTGCCTTGCCGTTCCGTCCATTATTCACTCCTTGACGTAGATAAAAAACGGGGACAATTGTTACATATTTACATCTATCGCTCATGTGTGCAGAGCAGAAAAGGTATCGTAATTCATGTTCCACAAATCATCCGCTTCGAAATAAAACATGATGTGTCCTACACTAGTAATGAAACAAACGCGTACGTAAATTACTGTTTTCTCCATAATCTTATATTTTCTTTCGTTGATTGTGTCTGTCCCGATTAAAAATATTTACAACGAGTTTCATCTGTATGTGTATATGTGTGTATATGTATGTGTGTGTATGTATGCATGTGTCAATATTGCGTACAAAATCAATTTGAAATGTTTGCGAGATCATTTTAATCGCTGTCTTCCTATCAGTCCCGGATAATAAACGAATTCGTAGGATGTAATCTTGCATAGGCCGCGAAAAACAATCGCATTTTTATAAAAAATGGAATAATTACATTCATTAACGCACAGACGCACACTATCTCCCCTTTCTTTATACAGCTATACAACTCTCCCACCATTCGAATAGCCATATATATATATATATANATATATATATATATATATGTACTATGATAGGTGTAACAATATTTAGCACTCGCACTTAGAAGCAACGCTCAGACAGCTAGTGATTGGTCAAGTGTGAGCTTTTTTACAGTAAACCCTTCTTTCCCCTTTCTCCCTTAATTATTGTAACTATTAGGTAAACCGTCGATGAAATTACGATATGAAGAAAGATCGATTGTGATTATGTGTGAGATGCGTATCTATCGTATTAATACGAAAACGCTATTCGCGGGCAAGCGGTGCTTTCGGTTTTCGCAATTGCTTCTGTTTTGTACATCCAACGTTATTGTGTGATCATGAGTACGCGGTTCATTTGCCTCTGAGTAATCCGTCGAAGTCGAACGTGAACGTAGCGAGCTATGTATAAGATGGGAATAATAAAAGACTCGTTTTAACGATCTGTGTACTCTACTGGTCTACCTGGTAGAAACCACTATTTCGTCGCGTTCGCGTTTAAACGCGCTCGTTGGAGGGACACGAGTCTTGTATGGGCCTAAAGCTCCTTGGCGAGTTCGTAGTAATTGGCTATAAACATTCGCGATTTTCACTCAGTACGGATAAAATCCAGATATCCCGCCGTCGTTACGGCCTACTGTTGTTTAATGCACGATCGAGAGTAGCTTAAACTCCTGCTGTCTGTACTATTTTTATTGAAACGACCTAGGCGACCTAAGATTATGATTCGTCTTTAGGATCCTCGGATTCCTTCGGGCTATCGTCGCGGTGACTCCCTTTGACTCCCCGGTAGCTATCTCCTTACATTACTCGGAACGAAATACGTTTGAAATGCCAACGGCATTTTGTCAACGGCAGAGATCATTCGGTTTGGTACCGGTAAGCTGTAACGATCCTACGATTAATAATAATGAAGCACTCTCCCAAGCATTATTCGCTACACCAGTGGAACTGATAAAAAAACTTTTTATCCTAATAGAGAGAAAGAGAGGCGGGCGGAAAAAAAAGGAAAAAAAACAAAGTATCTCGCGTTGTCTAAGGACTTAAATCATGTATCAAAGTTCACGCGCTGAACAGTTGGTTTAATCAAAGACGACCCACGATATTCTCTCTCACATATCTGTATGATCTCTCTCTCTCTCTCTCTCTCTTTCTCTTCGTTAATATCTCTCTCGCACGACGACCGTTCCCGCCTCTGGTGTTGCCGATACGACGAATGATCCATGATAATGTCGATCCTGAAAGATCGGACTTTATTTCGCGCGCGATCCTCCATCTATCTCATAGCTCCCGCACGAACAGACTGCGTTTGTGAAAGCGTGACAACGTTCGATGATATCCTCACGTCACAGTCTCAGTTCAAGCACGGTTTTGCAGCGGCCGTGACGTGATCGCAATTATTGTCTGTCCTAATACTACTACTACGAGAATTTAACGAAGGGATCGCAGCTTGAGTCTCAGCACGAAGTAAACAACCACCCGGAGAACGAGCAGAAAGCCGACCAGAGCGACGACGTCAACCCAATAGACTGCGTTCTGCATGGACATCTGTTCGAGGAACTTCGTTGGACTCTTGTAGTGGCAGTAGGACTCGGAACACTTTAGTTTCGCTCGATTGTAGCCGTACACGGAGATCATGGCACCCTCGAAGCCGTATCTCACGTAGCTCACGTACGAGAGAAACTTCAAGTATCGCGGAACGGCGTCGAAGTTGATGAAGAAGCCGGAGAACAGAACGATCGGCACCGACATTACGGGCCCGATGAATACTCCCGTCTGGAAATGACATCGACAGAATGAGATTCAGAGGAAGTTAAAGGAAAGATTAAATGACACACTGATCTTCTTATGAAACCGGACTGTTTTTATACAGCGATATATTATATTATATAGAAGATGTCTGACACAAGACATGCCAACCGTTATATATTTGCAATTTTAATCAATATGAGCAAAAACGTTCTCTACCATTTTGCAGACGACACGCAAAATGTTGAATTATTTATTAATGAAAATAGCTGTTTATAAAGGTTTCTTTCAAATTAATAACTCAAAAATTTGCGTGTTATTTGCAAAATGGTTTGTTCAGAGTGGCCTAATGTACAAGTGTACTTAAATATATAGAAGGTCATTCCAAACACAAGGTTTCGTTTCTGGAAGAATGGGAGAAGACTTTTTCGTTCATACTGACCTAAACTACAAGTATGTGACGGTTAGTACGTCTTATGTCAGACACTTTGCGCATATCGTTAACGTTTTTTCAACTATAATTCGTTAACTATTTCTACAGCTATATTTTGCTATATTATACAGAGTTGATGCAAACGTTTGTCCCGCTTCTCAATAAAAATATCTGTGTAACACTGATTTATTCTAAAATATAATCAATCAATGAAATATGCATTATTTTATTCGATAACCTGCCATCTTTCCGACATAATCCCATGTCCGTAAAAATGCTGGGATTTCTGAGTGATTGAAAATCGGGACGAATTTTTGTACCGACCCAATAATATCCTATGTATCATTAACGTTACCTCCACGCTCATTGCTGCTCCTATCAGCAGACCGATAGACTGCGCGACTAACGATGTCAGGATGCAAATATTTAGATACATAAGAAAACGCTCCGTTTCCAGCGGTTGCGACGTAATGAAGTACACGATCATCACATACGCTATGGAATATACAATCTGCAACAATCCGCGATATCGCGTGTCGTGAATCGATGTGCTACGGTGTTAATCGGCAGGCTAAAAATTATACTCACTTGAAACGGCAAGTCCGCCAACGTTCTCGCGAAATAAAAAGCCTTCACGGAATACCAATAATTCAAATGCTCTCTTACGAACACGGACATTTCCATCGGAACTGCAACAAGAGCGACAAAATGACGATATAACGAACCTCAAGGCGGCGTGTCGCGCTAATGCAACTGCGCACTACGTACATGTTAATATAGTAGGCATCATAGCGGTGAACATGAGAAACATCACTGTGAAGAAGACGCATCCGGCATTGCTAGTGACCTCCGAAGCCTCGTTGCCGATGTCGTAATAAATGGCGCCGATCAGCAGACCGACGATTATATGCGAAATCAATCTCACTCTCGTCAGCGTCTGTTAAAGAAAGGAATAGTAAAAAGGAAACCGAACGATGAAAATTAAATATCTCATCAGAGTCGACATTTTGGTTCTACTTTTACTTAGTTCGCCATTAAATCTTCAAATAGAGAAGACGGAAATAACTTCCCATTTATAGCTTCACAAGAACACTATTAATAGAACTTAGACCTCCCGGGGGAGAGAGAAAGAGAGAGGGGGCACAGAATTTTAAATTCTACATTAAGTCTTTATATGGAGACAACGGAAATAACTTTGTAGTATCAAAGGGAGCACAATGGGAGACCTTCGAAGACTTGATGTGGAACTAAATAGATCTAATGTAGGACTGAAATTTCAACTCAGCTAAAGTGGACTCGCGAGTCTCGACAGACAAGAAGGATACAATGTATACTTTCTTTCCGATAAAAACTGCGTTACCTTCATTCGACGCAAAATGATTGCATTTTTAACGATATCAATCGTTAAGTTATCCAATCGAAAGCGTTTATCATATCATTCCTTTCGGACGAATCGAATCGGAAGAGCGAGTTTCGTGCTCGTTTACACATCATACGCTTACCATATCTCGTATCTGCGAGAGGAAGGTCCTCTTGAGCAGTATCCAGAATTGCACCCAACCGTTCGTCGGGAAGCCAACCTTCTGCTCTATGCTCTCCGCGCTGTCCAACAATGACGTTGTGCAAGAGACCGGCATGTTGATCATCGTCGCGCCGGCCGGTGGCTTCGCAACGCCGTTCGGTATCAAAGCTGCGCCCTCCAACTTCGTCTGCTCCTGCGGCGACTCCTTGGCGATGTTATTCGCGACCGCCTGCGCCGCGGCGATAGCCGCTTGATGATGCTGATAATTATTGCACTTGCCATTGTTCACGGCCATCACGAGTTTGTGAACACATTCGCCGTGCTCCCCGCATGCGACCTCCATCACTGAACAGATAAAATCTCGTTAACGCGAGCAACATATCGAATAAAGTTCCGGGACGAAACTACGGACGATAGCATGACGATCGAAACTTTGCCAATTCGATAAGTACGAGGGTATTGCATCAACGTACAGATCAGTACGACGGGTTGCCTATTGGCGAACGCGTGCGATCGTGCTCGTAATACACTCACACACTCAGAAAGATATACAAGTAAATACGCCGGCAAGGCCTATGAGTTAATTCAAAATCGCACTCGACTCGAGTGTTATCTTCGTGGTATCTTGTGATATTAAATTTACACCGTGAATCTCTCGCTGGACGGAAGTGATAATTGAATTTTGATTATTTGAGAGGAGCGAAACATGAAATACTTGCCATAGTCCGCTGGATTATGATAACTCGGGCAGTCGAGACCCATTGATGACAAGAAGGGCACTAAACCACCGACATTGCCTTGATATATACACTGGCCTTCGGCAAGTAGATATAGATGGTCGAACATCTCGAACAGACGGGCGCTCGGTTGATGAATCGTGCATATGATCGTCCTTCCTGTAAAGTGTTTCAACGTGTACGATAACGCCTCCCTTCACGTCACGCGACCACAAGGAGATCAGGCGAAAATCTTACCTCCCCTGCTTAGGGATTTGAGCAAACTGAGACATTGGAAGCAGGAAGAACTATCTAAGCCGGAAGTTGGCTCGTCGAAGAACATAACTGGAGGATTATTGACGAGCTCCAGCGCTATCGACAGCCTCTTCCTCTGTCCCCCGCTGAGATTCTGAGTTTGCGTGTTGCTGGCTTCGCGTAGGCCGAGCGTTTCGATTATCTCCTCGATCTGCGTGCAATTACATACGAGTGTGAAAAGCCGAGCGACTTCGAATTACCGTTCTTTCATACAGTCTCGAAAAGGGGAAATTCTACTTATCGTACCACTACTTTCTTGGCAGTCGCGCTTATGTCCTTCCCCAGCTTCAGATTCGCCGAGACAGTCATCGCCTCGAAAACGGTCAAGTGCGGCAGCAGTCGGTCGTCCTGCATGATGTAGCAAGACATCTTTCGAAATCTCCTCAGGTTCCTGTCCTTGCCGTTTATCAGCACTGATCCACTCAAGTGGGATGTTCTGAAGATCACGCAATAGAAAGTTTCGCGAGCTCGCCGATTATAATTCGGTGCGACTACCGATGCGATCGCAATTTAATTAGTGTAAATACTGGTTTGATGCTAAAGTTCGTTCTGTTCCCCGATCAAAATAACACTTACTTTTATTCTTCCTTTATTTTTATTTTATTTTAAGATACAATCAATTAGATATACATCGATTTGTTTGACGACCCGTAATCTCTCCGGTAGCTGTATAATCCTGCACTCGTAGAAATTCTAAAATTTCTGGACGAAGAACGGATTGAAAAACGGAACGAACTTTTGCGTCAACCCAATACTCGTCGCTTACTCTTAATGCGTCGCAAATTTTCGGTCAAAATTGTGCTACTTACTTGTAACCCGCTAAAACATTCATCAGCGTACTCTTTCCAGCGCCGGACGGTCCCATGATGGCCGTTAGCTCCCCAGATCGGAATTTCCCGTTTACACATTTTAAGATAGTTTTGTATCCTGCAATACAATGGAGAAATAATGATAGAGAAAAATGAAAGTAAATAATTTTATCGAAAATCTCGTCCGTACTCGTGCGACGCTCATTGCCATGGGTTCGCAGTATTTTCTTTTTGCTTCTTTTTTCCAATAGAGATCTCAGAGGTTGAAGATCTTTACATATACAATTGCGTTACGAAAAGTTATACATTTTTTATGAAAAAAATTTTACTGTGACGAGACGCATACATAACGTAACGCGGAAACGGATATAGTGGCGTAATAGTTGTGATAGCGGCATAAGTCAATACGTTGAATTTTGGCAATGGACTATGCCAAAATTCTTACCACGATCTTGCCAAAATTGTGACATTCGAGGTACTAGATCGTCACACAGAGGCTCGCACGGATTATACGTCCCTCGAACGGACAAAACCTCTGGCTGACCTCTTTATCGCAGGTGCAGTTGCACCACTCGCAGTGCATCTGCGCCGAAACGGGAGCTTACCCGTGCATTCCTATCGATTTTTTCGGTCAGGTCGTTCACACACGTTGATAAACGAAAAGTTTATCGTATAGGTCCCTGCATATTTGATTCGCCACTTCGGCTCGATCATTCGGATATCCCGAATTATCTGTGTCTTTTGAGCAAACACATCGGGCGGAATAATGCAGGCGCGAAAACACGCTGAATGAGACTCAAAGAAGGGCGCCCATACTAACTCTCGTCAAGAGCACTTTATCTCAGCATTTTTCTCTTTTTTTCCTTCCGTCTTCTTTTTTCGTCGCCGTATAATGATCATGATCGGTTTTAGGAGCGCGTGAAAACGAGAGACTTTCTCTTGAGATTGGACGAGCAATTGGCACTTTCTTGAAACTCACCCCTCTTCCTGCCTTCGGACACGCTGTAGGCCAGGTCCTTGAACTCCACGTCGACCGGCGGCCTCTTCGGAAGATGCGTCAGCGATACCGCCGGCCTTTTGTTACCCTGTCCAGGACTAGCGCCGCTGTGGTTCGGCACTTTTCTGGCCAGGACCCCGCCGGTGCATACCGCCGCCGCAGCACCGTTCGACGTAGTGCCGTTGCAACTGCAGTGGAGGTTGTTCTGCGAGCCGCTGCAACGACAAAACGTTTTCTTTCCTGTTGATTTTGTTAACTGAACTTCGATAACTGCGTTCCCATCCGGGACCCCCCATATTCCCGTCCGTTCGAAACGCATCTGGTCGGAGTCAAAAGCTAGTGGCTAGCTAGAACAGGCTGGATTACACTTTCTAGCTCATTATTAGTTCGTTACTGGCAAATCCATTCACTAAAATATAGAGTCGATTTTGTGATCTAACCATTACATATCAAATATGATAGAGTAGCTGGGACAGTCTATTCAAAATGTATATTCTAACTGTTATATATCCGCATTTAAAAGTAAGATGGCGCATGGAAAAAAAGTTTCGATGAATTTGCTAGACAGTGAATGAACCAAACGTGCTTTGGTCGAAGGAAATCAAGTTTCTGGTTATAAGAACCAAATTTGGAATATAAAAGTCAGAGATATTCTGTTTCCTTCACCTAAAACTCGTTTGGTTTGTTCAATAACTATCTGATAAATTTAAATTAACGTATTTTTTCTCCACGCATATAGAAATTGTGAGTACGTTACTCCATAAAAATCTTAAAGAGCAAAGCGTTACATTACTGCCTAGCAACTAGTTAAGGTTTTTCATCTCCTCATTCTTTTGTTTACCACCAGCTAACTTATTTATCCAGCGATTATCTAGCCATTAGGAGAAGCGAAGGTTATATTAACGGCAAGTAGCGACGTCAGACACGAATTTACTATCTCGTGGGTGGACACCCACGAGGTTCAACTTCCACCAAGTATGTTTCGCGAGTTGCAGGTATCCGAAGAACGACGAACTTTTACTACGTTTCTGCGCGGCAGGAAACTCCCGGAGAACTCTTAGTAGTGCGATCTTTGCGCGGTAACCTACATTGCTCCGCCGTCGCGGAGAAAAGCGCAATCCGTAGGCATTAAAATGAAAAAACCGCGCTCGATCGTTGCGCCGCGCGCGCCGGTAGGCCTACCGTGCGGGGTGCACGCGAACCGCAAGCTTGCGAATGCGATCTATTCGAAGTTAAAAAGGTTTTCGGGCAACGTAGCACTCCGCAAAATCATAAACAGCCCTTAAAGTGGCGACAGTAGCGCGCGATCGCTGGAAACATCGAATATCAAACGCAAGGAAAATGTCCTTCGCCCACTCGTCGCATTTGGATTGAAATTTACACTTAAAAAGCACGCGGTTCTCCATCCAATTAATTCGCGCCATTGAGTCACGATTGGTCGCCTTCGAACACGCGAATGCCATTGAGCGTTTGACGAACGCGAGATTGCATAGAACACTGAACATTTAGCTCACGGTTGCTGTCGAAGAACAATGATGTACGAACGGCACGGCCGTTCTCATCACGTTAGACTTTATAACGACATTCGTTTCCCTCCGATTTTTAATAATTCGTAAAATGCATTCGCGAGGAGGAATACATTTCGCGTACACGCTCGCATTAAAACGCGATATTAATTCGACGTCGAAATTCATTCGACGGAAATAATTCGTCGCGCACGACGAATTCTGAAAACGAGAAATTCACGTAGTCCACAGTGCTAGATTTCTTTCTCATATACTCGAACCGTACACAGCCATACGGCATTATATCGCGATTTCTGTAACCCGCCGTAAAGGTAGGTTTTCTGTCATTTCTGCCGTGGTTACACGGTCGTGAAAGTTTAGTGTTCCTACGGTATTCGGATGAAACACAATAGCGTGAGCGCGAAATTGCCTGTTTCTAATATCTCGCACAATCGCACTGTCTCGCAGCTGCTACAGATAAACTCAATGGGCTATCGAGAGAATATTGAAGAAGAGATATCTCTGTGACCGGTTTCATTTACATTAGAATGACTCACGATTCATGATTTCATACCTCGGCTCTTCATCGAGCCTGCTTATCGCGCACTCTCGAATAATTTCTCGGACCTCTTCCTTGCTTCATCGACAGACTCTGTCATTCTTACTACAGCCTTCCCCGCACGTCCGTCGAGCTATCGTGCTCATTGAGAACAATTTCCGAAGAACGTAATAAAAGTGAAGAAAGTTCGAAACGGTGGTAAATAAATTTCACGAGGGAAATACGGTAGGTATGCAAGAACCGTCGAGCGAATTGTGCTGAACGGGAGCACCATTAAAGTGAAAATAAGTAAGTCGTTTGTTCGTTGAGTAATCGGGGAAACGATTTCTCGCGAAAAAATTGAACGATTGTGCGAGGTCCGTCGAGTCTCTCCAGAAAATGATTGGCAACGATGTTTCACTTTCGAGAAATCTATGTTGGAGTCCATCGGTAAACGCATTAAAGATTGCCTCGCCAACTTTGAAATTGAAATTGATCGATGCAGGCGCGATAATTCTCTTATTTTCTATAAATAACATTTTTATCGTAAATGAAACGTCAATTTATGAGGCTAATTAAACATTTTTACGGAATGCGGCGAAACGAAACGTTCATAATTTCATTAATGAATGTTAGTGGTTAATTATCTTCGTCCGTTGAACGTAAAACTATATGCCAGTTCGGCAAACACTCAAGATACGTGTTTTCGTATTTCTAACTTAAGCAGATAAACAGAACGAATAGACAATTTGACGAAAGTAATAACGCATAATTTTTGGCATTTTCGTGAACGGTAATATATCGAGTAATGGAAAGATCGCGTGCAGACTTTCCCAATCGATTCTACACGCTTCTCTGTATTTATAGACGACAAATTTTATAACGCCTCGCCCTGTACAAAGCACGTCATGTAAGTTTGCCGCGCTGTCTATTGACTTTTTCATGCACGACATTAAGATATAATGCGGCGCTGCCTATAAAAATTTAAAATACTGAGTTAAGTATCAACTTTCTCGCCGCGCGATTACAACGCGTAAATAGTCCAACTCGTGCCGTGAAATTCAAGTTGTGTCGCATCTCCAGTTACTTGGAGAAAAAAAGTATTTTATCATGAGAATAGCTTATCATTTTACATTTAACACAAAAGACGTGGAAATAAGCTTGTGTCTATAAATTTACATCTTCCCCGGTGAAGTTAAGACACCGCTTTGAGATATTTTATGTAACTTCGTCGTGATATAGCGAAATACACGGCAATATAGCGAAAGGATGCACGTAGTATACGCTGATGCACAATTTCTTCATTCACTCGACTGACTCGAAAAAGCCACAAAGGAGACACGTCTCTCTCTGTCTGGCGACACGTTACGGTCGCATCGTTGCCCTTGACGATGAGTCACGGGGTCGTGGCAGCCGAAGCGACCGATCCTTTCTCACATCGATACTATTGTTTAGAACATTTCAATTGAGCTTACAGCAAACTCGAGCCGTACATACATACGAGCCTTATGCTGCGCATTCCTAGCTTCTCGTGGTATTTCAAAGTTCGGGCAATGTTTAATCGAACCCTCGACGAAAAGGTCAAAAACCTTGACCGTGTTTGTTTTTAGGATACCTGATGCGCGATTAGTATCGATTGCCATTTCAACTTATTCGATATAAAGTGCTGTCTCTCTCTCTCTCTCTCTCTCTGTACATCACAGAACTGTCTGTTTATCTCAGTTTGTTTTGGTTTGTTGAAATTATATTTCCGCACAATTTTTTTCCCTTGATTATTCTCGCGTATGAAGATGAAGTGACGCAACTTTTCACATCAAACATCGTTATCGTGGCCGGCAGAAAATTTTCTCGCATGAATCGCGAATTTAATACATAAATAAATTTCCAGCAATCTAAAGGTAACTTGTTTCTAGATTTCTACTGACTAGATTAAGTTATTTAAAGTCACTTTAAGGATAAACCTTGAAACAGGTTCCGCGACGATCGAAGGCAAAACCTTGAGATCCCTTTTAGACCTTAGTATTTAGGGGAGAAGGTTTGCGTGCTCAGAGGACTGACCCGAGGGTTGTATTCTCCCTCATTCACAGCCTTCACGAAGCACGACTAAATTCGGGGTTACGTCTGAATGAATTGCAATCTGCGTTCTGATGACAGCTGGATCTCGCTCAAGATTACGAAGCGTAGGTCAGTTCCAGAGTGAAAGATACGATGTTACCATTAATCTTGTCGAATTCATATCTCGCTACACATCTGATCTCGGAACATTGAAATAGGTGATAGGTATGAAAAATGGAAAATATATCGTTGCTCAACAAGTAACATTATATATTCCGGTCTAACTACCAACCTCATCTAACTAACAAACTCGTCACTTAATTAATACATTAAATCGTTCGTTATTACTTGTGATTTTTGGAAATGATAATGGATTTCGTGCTAAATCGTCGTACTATTTGGAAACCGCGACTAATAATATCATAAAAACCACGTAGCGGTCGCGGACAAATGTGCGATCAATATTAATTTATGTGTGTACCATTTGTACACTACCTTCCCCTGGGCGATCATAAAGTAATACCGTAATGTAAATCAATAACGTGAACACGTATCGCAGAATTACTCGTCGTTTTCTGAAATAACAACGGATTTTATACAAAATTGTACTGCTTGGCAACGATAATTAATATGTAGTAAAATTTAAGATACATTATTAATATAAAATTTGATATACAGTAATTAATATACAGTAGACAATTTTGTGTAAATGATAGATCGCTGAAATTTTTGTGTTACTTTAACATGGCATTTTAAAAAGTACACAAATATTTTTAAATTAACCACACATTCACCTTGTTGACATATTACGTTTTAACATATTCGCGGTGTTAAAGAAACACCAAAATTTCTGTGAATTGTCATTTACACAAAGTTTTTTACTACGTAATATTATAAAAGCCTCGTGGTGATTGCGGACAGATATACGATCAACATTAATTTACGTAGGTACTAAAACTTAAACATCCAAGAACCGAAAACGTTTGGCGCGCCCGGGTAGAGTTAAAACACAAGCTTCAATAAATTATACATATCATATTTTTTTTTATTAATTGCCTCAAAATATTCTACATATTTAGATTAAGAGCCGATATTTTTCGAAGTTTGTATGTGTTTTAATGTGACCCGCCAAATGTTTTCGGGGCTCTCGATCTTAATTTTGCTTTTTTCCAAATCTTCTTGTCGCTGAAAAAGTTTCGAACTAAACCAACACATTTGTTATACAAATATTAACTTTTGGTATTTGTGAAAAGAACATTACTTTTACGACATCATTATTTAATTTTCGGTTGGCTTAACTTTCAAATATCATTATTTTTGCAGATAATTAATCTCATTTGACGTGGCTTCCTAATATCATCTTTTTTGTAGGAGATGCAGTTAAAACAATATTTAATTTTAACGTTTCTTTTTCGTTAGCTGAAACGTTGTTTACATAACATTTCTACCAATCAGTAATTTTATAGAACATTTCTTTTATATTATAACATTATTATTTGTGTAATTTTGTTTGAGAGAAGTCGCGTGTATATTTAACACCTTTTTATATCATTTTTTTTTAAAGATAATTTTTTACAGATCATAAATGCGTTGCAGAATACAAATCGATATATCGCTAACGGTTTACGTTCAAAGAGAGAGTCAAGAACGCGAACAAAGAAACTAGATTCTCTCTTCTAAGGCCACAATCGAAGATTACCTGCAGCGGAGTTCGAGGTAATCCGGAGACTTTTTTATAATATTATCTTAGCATATATTGCTTAGAGCAACTTAGAAACTTCTGCAACAACATATTCATTTCCTTTCACCTTCATAGATTTATAGCATCAATGAGCGATTCATGGTTATCAGCTATCTGCCGTGCATACAAACAGCTTTAATTTATCGAACAATCATTTCATCCGCGAGCACTATCACGAGACTTCACAAATTTGTCGTAGATAAATTATATGTAGTAAGAAATAAATGCAAGCTGCAGCTTTGCATTTTTTTAACGTCAGTAATTCGCCTTCATCTATTCACCGTTTTCTTGCTTTTATCAATCAAGCTCTTCCTTCGTCAAGCCAATGTTCATACCAATATTTGAATCCAAGCACGTCTGCATTAGCATAACCTTATTATACTATCAAATTACCGCCGCCGATGTAATTGTGAAGGAAAAGTTTTAGATAAATCAAGTAAGTTCCAGTAACCGTGATACGTTTTGCTTCTTTCGTCGTATTTCCACATTCGCCATGCATTTTCGTGTAGGCGTTACAATGCAGTCATCCATAATTCATCGATCTATAATTCAGACAATCTAATACGCGCGTGGCATCTCGCGAAGGCCTTGGCTCGACGGTCGAAAGGATGTTCAGCTCGGCTGCTCGTGTTTCACTTTTCCTTTTCCTTTTTCTTTTTTTTTTCTTTATCGCGTTTTGCGTTGCTCAATCATCGCGATCAATTATTTTTACTCGTTGCACCGAATGTATTTCTTTCCCTTCGATTTGTCATGCTTCGGCCGTACTTTCAACACAATGAAAGGCGAGATTGGATTTCAAACGAACATAGATGAACGGCAAAAATTATAACGGACTCTTTCTTACCCGTGGACCGCATTGTTGAGATTCTCCAAATGTAAGGAAGGAGGGGGTGATCTGATCGTCACCTGGTGACTCCCGCCTGGGATAAATTGCACTTGTTCATCTCCGCTGTATCTGGATGCTCCGCCACCGCCCAGAGCGAGGTTCTTGAGATCAGCCATCATCCAGTGGTGCTGGAATGTATATTTACCGTGTTAAGACAATGTTTCGCTGAGCTAAATGATAAATTTGTCGTCGCACTTGTAAAAAGTGAAGCATTCACGCAGTCGATCGATATAATAGGGTGTATAAAATGGTGGTAACAAAATAAATTTCAAATAATAATTACACTTAGTATTCGGTTACGCATTTTTCCAGCTTTACACGCATGCCGAAATTTTCTTTCAAGGTCTATAATCCTTCCGTCATTGCCATTCAACTTCAGCAGCACGCACTCATCAGAAGTAAAAAAGCATCTTAACATCATTTGTTTCGGAGATACAAAATATTTTCATTGATCAAATAATATTTTTATCCACAGCATGCACGTATATTCAGTACGTGGTGTTTTCAACACCCTATACAACACATATTGCATTTCGCATTTGTTCAATTTTTCGCTTCAATTCAAATGGTCTCGTAAGGTCTTGAGCTTGACCCTTATCTAATGCCCTATCTAGCCCTAATGGGTTTTGTCTGAAAATGCGTTTACGCATAAAGTTAAAAATGTCTGAGCTGCTTTGTGCCGGGAATAGTTTCGTACAATATTTGAAATTCTATCGAGGTGGTGCACTTAGAGTAATGGCTCAGAATCGTCAAAGCATTTTGCAGTCCAAGGAATCGTGCCGCGCGACATTTTCCTCCGTCTTATTGTCGTACGTTGAGTCAAACCTAGCCATTGCCGTGAAGTACACGATACCGAGTACTTCGTGTCACAATTGGAGCTTGTTAGTGAATGCACTCAAAATGTTCGAGTGCACCGCTCCGGCTGGATCTGCTCAGCGTAGGGCACGGAATGCAGTGAAAGGTCGGTGTCAGGAAAATAGTTAGGAAATCGATTGCAGTTAAGGCAATGGTTTATTTAATCACTGAGATGAGGCAGAGGGGCAATCTGGCCCTTACAGTTCAAGGCGTGAGGAGACGTCCTCCAGCTTGTCGAACAAACGTATTCAGAAATCGCTCGAACGGCCTTCCTGAACATTCGCCATTGCCGAAGTCTTCGTATCATTTGACGATCGGAATGGTCTTCTTCTTATTATCCGCCACGCGCAACCACCATTGTAGGACGCAACACGATGTTAATTCGACGATCACGACGTTTAAAATGAGAAATATAATTTAAGTTAATGATCGGAAGATCGCTCGCGAGGTAGTCGCGAGGACGCGGATGATATATCGCAACGCGATGATTCGAAATAGTGAGTCTTGATTTCTCGCACGGAGAGTAGTTAAGACCGTAGCGAGCCGAGAAAAGCGAATAATTGGAATCGACTAAATTGCTCTAACTTCTTTGTGCTCATTTTTGATCCGTCACGCCGAAGGCACCCAGTTTTATAAGGTTATTATTGCCAAGCGGAACGAGCTTATTGGTCATCCTTCCATCGGATGAAGCATTAGACAATGTCCAAATGTGGTAATGTTTTATGATTTAGATCGACGAGTTTGTTAACCTTATTATTTAGACTCTTATTATTAAGCTGTTCTTATAAGAGATACAATATGTCGAGTGTTTATCCGCGTTTATATCGCGGGTTTCCTTTTGTTATCGATTGTCAATTCTTATGTTATTTTGTCGAGAAAGCAATTCGATTCTCGCATCATGCTCGCTTCACGTGTTGTGAGAATGATAAATTTAACTCTCTCTGTTTACAGCTAATGGAATTCGAATTTTGAACAGAGCTTAAAATAAATATTTCGATGTAAGGTAAGATTTCAATACGTCGTGTCATCAAAAAAGCAGACGAACGGAAGGTTTTAATAATTTAAGGCCAATCGATCAGGAATAGTCTCCAGGAAGCTTCCAAGCATCGATTCGGTATTATTAGATACGATCCGTGTACGTCGGAGATAACTAAGCAAGCATTTGTTTTTTGATACAATCAAATTTATCATGCGTGCGACACAAGTGCAATGTTTCACCGAATTCACCTAATTTGTTACCTATTTTCCGCCGACAAGTTTGGTTCTTATGTGATCCCGCGAGTTAATTAAACTTGGAATGTCAAATAATAAATACGCAATATAATAAAACACCGTTTTTTATTACTTCTACTGCAAAACTTGCATTTATAAAATTTGCAAAAATATATTTTCTTATCGCGATGCGACAATGTTCGTAATTGTTTTTGAAGCGGCAGTTTTAATTCGTTTGTATTATCAGCGTACTTCTTTGTCATCATGTGTAACAACAAGAAGGCATGTACTTTTACGGATACACCAAACGAGCGCGCGAATCGAATAAAGTTTGAGTATACATTTTCAGTTGCAGAGGAAAATATGTAGTTTCAATCAAAAGGCGGTCAGCAGATTGTTGGAAATGCGTGCCATATAACTGACGCGATACGGGTGGCAACGTTGATATTATCAAATAAAACAGTGTAACAAATACCATTTCACTAATCAGTTTATTTAATCAGCACTGCCTAATGTACCACTAATGCAATTAAACACCGGCAATGCGCTTGTCACTCACAAAATACGACGCTTTTCAGAGTCTCCATTTGCGATCAGCATTTCCTTTCGCTAGACTCGTAGTTTTATCCGGCACGAGAAGCAATAACAAAGAATATTCAATTTTGCCAAGAAGCCAAGAAGGGAACATTCACGAAGTAGCAAGAGTTGATGAGAACCAACCGCGATGTACGGTGAATATACTTTGAATATCTGCGCGATAAACGAGACCCGTTATCCGTGAGCCTCTGCTTTCACAATAAACAATAAAGATGCGGCACATTCGAGGAAAACTTGAATCTAGCAATTACAATAAAAGAGATCGTTTCATCGTTACCCATTAGATAGAACACAAAATTAAAAAAAATCAATATTATAAGTACGGCCAGAAGAGACGATTATCCATTAGAGACGATTGCTACGTTGCAACGTTGATTAGCTGCCTGACCGATACGTTTGCATTTCATGCGTCACTGATTGTTATCGCGCCTAATCCGAGTAATAACGATTTTGTTTTTTAAATCAAGGCTAAAGGGCAGGGAAGTGAAATATGGCCGCCGTCGAGAGGAAGAAGGCAAGTCCAATACACGATACGTCATAATTCAGATCGAGTTCTCGCGTCTATGGTGCTCTCGCCCTGCGGTCGGGCTCTCGCGCGGAAATTTCGAAGATCGAGGGTCGATCGATTTGCGCCGCTGTGCGCCATTGGAGTCTATCCGCACACTGCACGTTCTGTTTTTACAGGGCGAGCACGTGTCGAGAATTACGCCGGTCGCGTGTTTGTGATACATGACGCGCGCAATTGCATACAGCAGGATGCGTATTCGTTGTCGCTGCCGCCGCGAATGCCGCTGTATCAGCAAGCCTTGGCGCGCCGATCAAGATGAAATCTCGGATCCATTTTATTATCTGGAACGTCGTCCTAGAATCTCTGTCTTCAGCTAGTTCTTCCAGCCAGGCCACCTTCTTTGTTTAAACAGCTAACGTTCCCGATCAACCAGAGGCAACAGACAAGAGCTCGGTCGTTTTGAATCTCTCTCTCTCTCTCTCTCTCTCTCTTGTTAATTAAGGTGTTTCCGCTCACAACAGAATCAATTTTGCAAGTCCGACGAACCCGGAGGAGGGAGAGGGGGCCACGAATATTCAGCCGGGGTGTAACACGGAATTCTCGTTTAGCCCTTGGATACGACGGGAGGTTAGTGTGAAGCTTCAGATGACACCCTAATGAGTCCCACTTAGCTGCGTCGTTTCCTCGTATCGATGGCAGAGATATAGTCGGGGAGCTTATATTGGCGGCGTTCCAATCGATAAAATTTCTAAGACGCGTTAAAAAGCGCAATCGTCTGTATATCCTATCGTCTCTCGCGAGAGACGCAGTTAATAAGATGTACGCGCACAAGCTGACAAGCAGAAAAGTCGAATTTAATTGGCATACAACTCTACAATATAATTCGTGATGAATTATATATCTAACTCGCGGTATTTCTACTGCGTGTGCACGTAACTGCGTACTCACAAACAATGGTAAATTCCTCTTTAATTGTTCAAGAGAACGTCCGTCTTCTCGCTTACGCAGTTAATGATAGAATTCACTTGCTTCGTTTTGTGACAGAGCGCGCTAAGAATCGATGAGTCACGTGGAGTCTTCTCGCGAACGCGGATACATCATTCATGTATGTTGCACGTTTTTCCCATTCCGGGACTTTTCCAGGTAGCGGATAATCTGTTCTCCGGTTATCCTGTCGGTTGACTACTTCCTAAAACCTAGAATTCCAGATGGGGCTCTTTATCTCGGAGAAAAGAAGAACGAGCTTCCGTGCCGGAGACATGTCGATCTTTCACGTGGAATGGCACCGTCCCCTTTGCCCGAATATTTAGTACACATGTACGCGTCGCACCCTTTTGCAGGACCCTTCGTCTTGCCGAAGGACGGAATTTAGCGAACTTCTTCCATGTTCGGCAGCAATTTCTTCGGGAGACGTGACTTTAATAACAACGCGGAGTCAATATAATATAATTGTGTTGCCGGTCCCTCCGAGCCACTTGGCTCCTATCATCGTGCGAGATCGTTGTTAACCCCTTGGCCTACACGATATCTGCCAATTGCGCGAACTATAGTAAACAAGAAAATCGGTTGCGCGCCGTGCCATTCAACTGTTCAGCCGTGTACCCGAACTGGCGCAAAATGTATACCTTTCATGACATATATATTTCAGTGCAACGAAAGGAATTGTGAAATAATAAACAATGTTTAGGTACAAAAGGATTGGATGTGGAATAACTCCATTCGCTTGTTCGAATAATACGCGGCATCTTATGCACCAATTCCTCACCACGAGTCTGACTCGTGGCTTTTGTTTATGGCACAAATTCTTTACCACGAGTCAGACTCGTGGTTTTCGCTTATGGCACAAATTTTTCGCCACGAATCAGACTCGTGGTTATAGGCCAAAGGGTTAAATGTTGGTGACCTCTTGATAATATCTAATCGGTCCCATGTTGTCAGTCCCCACGCAGTAGAATAGGATGAGACGTGCTTAAAAGTTTACTGGGCACAATCCGCTAATCCTGGCCACTTACGCAAAAGGTGTACGTGCGCTAAAGGTTTTAAAACAGCCGATCCGTTTTCTCTTGAGTCGGGGAGAACGCGACTTTATCGTCCACGATCGGGCCCGTCAATCCCAGAGACGTATCTCAGAGGGAAAATTATCACGAGCGTTTAATTAGGCGGATTATTGTTTTCATTGGCAGGAAATACGCAGGTTCTTCCGCTGAAAATAGCGCGCGTCGAACATTGTCCGATGCTAATGGACAATGATTTCCCGAGCGCACATACTATCATTCGACGAATATATGCGAATTCTCCTCGCGGAGTGCGATGTCACATTATACACGCGACACACGTGCTCGACACACTGACTGTTATCGTAACACGCTCGTCAGGTTGCTTGGTCAAGGCGTCTGTTAAGCCACACGATCTCAAATCCATTTCTAAGGCCATTCAAACTCGCTCCTATACGGGGAAGGCGGAACCAGGCGGAACCTCTTGTTTAATCCTACGCGACAATGGCATCTGTTCGAAGAGCTTTCTCGGAAAATAGGCAGGTATTTGGCGTTCTGAAGTACGCAGTTGTTTAAACATCCCTTTGACAAAAATAGAATCGCGAAATAATAATGAGTGAAGTAAAATAATAAAGAAACGAGAAGAACCGCGTTATCGTGACTACACGTCTGGGGGTCGAAATTCTCCCGTGTATCTCAAATAACGCGGCGTATCGCGAAAATAAAAGACGTCCGTAACGCAGCCGACGCAGGTAACCGTGTTATCGAGCAGTGTGGAAACGATAGCGGTCCAAGCAGTCGTACGATACCTGCCGATAATTGATACAAGTCATCACAGTTACGAACCATAGATCTGCGTCCATTCACAAAATTGCCAGAGTTGCATCGCGCAACCGAAAGAGTCAGTCAGGGAGTCGCGCTGTAGGCAGTGTCGATGAGTTTAGGAACGAGTGAGCGAGAAACCGCCTACTCGTCGATAGAAACGATATGTCGATGACCGGGCGAAGTGTGTATCGCTGATCAATGCGTTTGAATCATTACACGCACGTGAGGCTTAATTTTCGATCGAGCGTCGAGCGGTACGCTCGCGTCCCGCTCGCGGTCGCCGATGGGGATGACCGGCAATTAAGAAGCGTCAATTAAGAATCGATTCATCAAACGAACGAAAGAGGCTGCCTCGTTGTGCTCGTGCGCGAATAAATCGACTTCTCTTTATCCCGTTAATTAATTACTGCGTAATGCGAGCGGCAGACGCAGGAGGGTAGTGACGCGGCGTCCATGACGCATAGCTACAAGGGGTCGCGTAGGGTGGCTAACGATATCACGACGACACGATCCAGCCCACACGTCCTTCCCACACGAACCGTTCATGCTAACTTACCCTCGGACGAGAGTGAGCTCAGCTGCTGCCTCGACGTCCGAACTCATACCACGACGATGACGTTCTGCATCTTCGATGTGTCACAAGCACTCGGACCTGTCAAACTCTGTGCTCCGAAACAAAGGTCCCTGGGTAACGAGGCGATATCACAGATCACACTGGTGGATTCGCACTGAATCGCTGGGGTTAAGCCACGGTGTCGCGATCCCACCTCGAGTATATATCGACTTCCCTCGTCGGGGGCGGTCGATCGACGCGTGCACGCACCAGAGTGATCCTGGGTGACCTGGTCGATCGCGTACGCACCGAACGGAACGTGTACTGCGACTGACGAGAGAGAGAGAGAGAGAGAGAGCGTCGATCGCGCACGACGCACCACCGACCGCGATCAGCTGTCGAACTATGCACCTCCACTCCTTGCCACCGACGAAATGAGCCGAGCTCGAGAGAGCGACCGAGTCCAGGGACGGAGGTGACGACGGTGAAATCCAGCACCCAGCCGGCTGACTCGCTCACGTTCTTTATTCGTTGTCGGCTGTCCGGTGCGCGGAAACGGGGGGAAATTCAGCGTCGCTTCCAATTTCAGCTTCGTCGAGATCGTTCCTCCGTTTTGGAAAATGTGCCCCCGGTGTTGCGTGAGGACGGATTTTCGGACGGTCCTGCGCAGCGCGCAAACGCGAGGCTGCGCGAAATACGAAATGTCAATTTCTATTCTCGACTTCCCAGTTCTTTTCTTTCCTTCTTTGCGACAGTTTTTGCAAAATGCGAGCTATGCGACACTTTGCATGAGTACATTGCTAATTATTGTTGAGGAATCAATTATTTATGTTTATCCTTCGTGCTTCTTGCTGCCAGTTTTTCGTTTCTTTACGAACGATCGATTTGCTCTGACAGGTTTTATATCTGACTTATTCATTATCGCGTTATATCAGTGTCGGAAGTAGTCTTTGTTCTCGTTGCTGTTAACGAACTCATACGATAAATATTGGACTTTAGATAATAAAAATACATGCCGCGTGCAATTAATTCAGCTATTGGGCCGACCATATATCATCAGATGCTTATTGAATTTAATATTTTTCTTTCAAGAAATTACTCGCGCCATTTCGAGGACTTTAATCATCGTTACATAGTCATTCATAGATCAAACGTGAAACATAAGTTTCAAATATCGAGCGGTAATTTCGACAACATCCATCGCGATACAGTTAGGCACGTGTCATCGTCTTTTTGCCTTGGCGAGACTCGATTACGCACAAAGAGAGAAAAACCGTGACTACAAAATTCTTGCTGCGCATTTTCTGGTAACCACGGTGATTCAAGATAATGACACAAGCAGACTTGTACTCGTGGGTTGTAATTTTCTACTGCTCGCCCAGGTAATTATTTGCCCGGCCGCGGGAGAAAACAGAACGGCACTCTTGCGTGCGAGCTTATTACACAAAATATAAATATAGTCGTCTAACTCTATCTTACCGAACACACAGAACGTCGCTTATGCCGAGGAAGAAGATTAACAAGTATAATCCGAAGCAGTTGCGTTCGTTCAAACAAAGAAAAGAAAAGAAAACGCGTCCGTGGTGCGATTATTCATCGCACGCCGTGCGAAAGAAAAACGAATTTCTCGTCTCTTCTTTATTATATTGTGCGGGGTGCGTTTTCCTCGTAGTACATCGTTGAACGCTCGCGCATGAACAACAAAGCGCATCCGCGTCGCGAGGGTGGAATTTCCGTGCACGTTCGCGCGAGTATCGACCTTACAGTTACCAGGTGAACCCTGCTTTGGGAAAACGTGGCGAGGAGCGCAGGCAGGCCGAGCGAAGCGGCGATAGGAAAATAGGAGAGGGAACTATAATTCCTTCCGAGCACGGGGGAAAGGAAGGAACGAAGGAGAAAGGAGAATGAGCCACCACATGCCGCGGGTCGATACTCTAGCACTGAACTCGCTGGTACACGTTGGGTACACCCGCACCAGCGCGAGTACGCTCGCACCGAGAAGCTGGAGTCGAAGGTTGTGCTCGCTTAGCGTGAGCATGACGAGGAGGCTCGCTCGATTCGTTCGCTAGAGAGCTGAAGAGAGAGAATCATCCACACGGCGGACACCTGCACTCGTGAATGAGGATCGAAGTCCGGGTTCGGCTCTGACGCAAGTGTCGTTCTGCTGCTAGGATACGTCCGTTGCATTGTTAATAAACAATGTTTAATTGGGCGCGACGTCGGACCTCGCGGAGTTCGTTAATTATAATCGACGCTCCTTCGTTATGCCATTGTCGCGGCAAACCGGTAAATAAACGTTCGACACAAGTTCTCACGACAAACGCAGGATCCTCTCACGATCATCGCGCGTCTCCTTTCCGTCCGATCGAATTCGCGGGCCAGCGCGAAGTAAACTTTCCGTCTGGCAGTTTTGAAATTGCGTGAACGTCTCCCGACGATTCCATGGAAAAATTTCACGCCGCCTGAATATCGGCGGCGAAGAACCTGTCGTGGAGGAAAGGAAAGGCGGAAAGAAACCTACGGTCTTGTTTTACTCCCGGCAGATATCAACGGTGAGGAGTAAACACTCGGCTTGCAAATCGACGATGTTGTTTCCAAAGGGCAAAAAGCGGATCTCGCTCCGGCTGGAAGGAAACACAGCACGCTCGCTCGGTGCGCGTGCCCGACGGGAATTTGATTACCTGTAATTCCTTGGACTATGGAGCGCGCGTTTGATTTCTCCACGCAACGTTGTTCTCCATTCCGAGGAGTGGAGCCGCATTCTACTATTTTAGGTTCGCTTCCCCGGCGAACTTTGCACCTGTGCGGTTAAGAATAATGCATCTCCCCCCGCTTCGCATAACCTTCGCGTCAATATGACGTACCATAGCACCGGCCAGCGAGTGAGACAATGAAACGCTCGCTGCCTGAATCGACGATTCGCCAAGCTAACAAATCGCCGTTAACGACTCCCCGTTTTCCTGCTCGAGTAACACAACTGTTGTTCTGGGGTCGAAAAACAAAAATTACTAACGTGCGATAACAAGTTGGTCTTCAAAAAAGCGAGGTCTCGTATCGCTTGTATCTCTCGTCGCGTCTCTTTTTTTCTCACAACGATCCAAGATAATGAAAATAAATATGCATGTGAGCCGAGATAAAGATTTATTTTTTTTTATTCTATCCTAAAAAAGATCTCGTCGCAACGTGGCACGCGATACGCTGTTTATCTGCACAGCTGCGGAAATTGTTTGCGTTATTTTCCGTTTCAATCTCGCATTTAATTGGGAAAGGGGTATTGAGGGAGGAAATGAAGCGCGTGTACAAAGTAAGCGAAGAAAACGTCGCGGCTTGAGTCGATTTTCTCAATTGCTTGTTAAGAGGATTTCCATCAATCATCAATGTACCAAATGTACGTAGAATGAAAGAAATGTCTTAACGTAACGATGACGCGTAGCGATCTTTTTCTTTACGCTAAATATTTTAGCCGATGCCGAAAAAATGCGAAAAATTTCACGCAATCTCCTCGAAATATGCATTATCTGTAGTATATCTGTGCCGTATCATTGGCAATCGTCGGTGAGATATCATTTGATCGAAATGTCAAGGAAATAATTCCGAGACGACGCTTACTTTTCCTCAACTTTTCGTTTCGGATAGCTCGAGCTATAAACGCCACGTGCTGAGGAAAAAATTTCATTCTTTTTCAATGGCAGCTGCATTCCTTCCCACTTACGCTTAACCAGAATTATTCGTGCCCGGCAGTCGTGGACCGTCTGTATTTATGTGTTCTATTGAATCTTTACGAGCACAGCGTGCGTCGGAACGCGAGCAACGCTGCCGCTTCGAAGCACAAAATCAATTCCTCGTTTCGCTCCAGTGTCGCAAGTTAAGAAGCCGCGGACGATTACGAGCGAGATCGAAGTTCATGTCTCGATCCTCCTCGCATAGTCATCCGGCATACGCTTCCGTCGCAGCTTCTCTCCGGCGGAAACCGCCGTTGTCAGTTGTTCGTGCGCGCTGGATAACGCGCGTTTGCTTTTTACTGTTGGAGCGCTGATTTCATGACTAATGACCTGGTTCTGTCGCGTACGCTGCGTCTGAGCCTTTGTCCGCGGGCTCTGTAAATCGTACATGGCGACGCGTCCGCCGTTATGTCGAAAGATACCGAATGCGATCGACGCGTACCTGCGAATAACGCACTCACGTGGGCATACGAAAAGCGTTATCGCATAATTACAGATGCACCCACACGCCAAGCTTTACGTAATTAAACCGCTCGCTCGCTCGGTCATTTATTATTATTTATTATTAGAAGTCACGAACAAAAATTTTCGCCCGTATATTTTACACCGTCTGCGATATGTGCAATATAAACATCGCGGATCTACACGACACGTCTCGCGCGCACGCGCGTTTTTCTGTGTGTGTGTATAAGTTTCGCAACGGACTCTCAAAAGTGAAAAACATCGCCGACCCGAATTCGACGGTACGCTTGAACTTTGCAAACGCATAGAACGACTTGAATTATAAATACAAACGATCGAATTATCTTGATATTTCATTTTAACCTTCTGGTGGGGTCGACCCTATGCTTTGTTTTATTTAGTTTTCATCTAATTAGTGTACAAAATGGGCAAAAGAAGTAAATAATAACATGAAACTTCTTCCTCTGTTTCTTTATAGATGAAAAATATACGATAAAGTTTACTAATTGACCTTAAATAATTGCAATAAAACACTTTGAGAAACGCTTTGACGTTCTGAAAATCTATCCTGCCGTTAGAAATTAATATTCGCTCGTGATTTAGACTCTCGGACGCATTTCCCGAAAAATTAATACTTCACTTCAAGACGCGCCGTTTTAGTTTCTCAGGCCTTCGTCTTGCGATGCGAAAGTTTATTTGCGCAAAGTGCCATTAGACCGTGCGGATATTTAGCCAAGAGTTGATTCACAAGGTGCCGCAGGATTGCCGCACGCCGTGAAGTTTCGTCTGGCGTTGGTAGCGGCGAAATTGTTTCAATAAAAGTAAACTGCAACCGTAATACGTAAAGTGCACCGAAATTAGGAGAATCGCTCGTCCGTTAATTCCCACTTGTACCCATTTCTTTCTCTTTACGATTCTCGGTATAGTTAATTGTACGTAATTGTCGGCAAACCCGATAAACGACATTACACAAAGAAAGAAAAGGAAAGATCATTGCGTGCGTCTGCATAAATCACTCCCGTTTCGCGCGTACCGCTAATTTTTTCAGTCCCCGAAGCTAAACTTGCGTCACATGAAGCACATTACGGCAATGTAAAATACGTTTAATATCGGTTTCAATGGAGGGATTGATGATTCAATGAGAAGAGATGAGTCAGCCGAAATGAGCTCATTGTCTTCCCAATGCTCGTCACGACACCAAAAAGCCAAGTCGGCAGTGCGCGTGCACTTAGAGAATGCAGATTCGTCCGGGGTCATTTCAGCTCGCCATCGCCGGCCGAGAAAATTGCAACTGAGAATGCGATATCCCCGTGATTTTTCTTCCTGATCGAACGCGAGAGAACGTTTTAATCTGCGGAGCAAAGCAGCAACGCCTTCGTACGCCGTAGAAAACGCACAGCCGGAATCATCTTTCCCCGGTCTGCCCCGCGCGTCTTCCGGCCGCTGGTCTATTTAAATGCCCGCCGTTCTTCTTCCTCCGTTCGACTTCAAATTACGAGCGGGATACCGCGTACTCCTCCCCTCGGTCCTGAGGAATGTGAAGTTTATGAACGCCTAGAGAAGAGGCGCCGGTTTCTCTCGCCATCGTCGATCGCGCGGTACATCTGCAAACGCACACGCTCGCTTATTTTCGCTTTCCGCCTTCCTTCTCCAACGTGGTCACGCGATTTGCCGGGCGGATCGCGCAACTCGTAAAAACGAGTGATCTAACTTGCACGCGCCTTCGAGGCGCCGTCATGCACGATATTCATACACATACAGAGGAAAGGATTTCCTTGAATTTAATAAAATTTCTTTAATTAAAGCAAATTTGTTTTTTGGAATGTTTTTTGGAATGTTTTTTGGAGCTGAGCCAGCCGAAAGTTTAATTCAACAAACAGGATTGTTTGGCTTCTCAGATACGATAAATATCTTTACGTCAAAAAACGTATTTTTCTTGTATATTCATCCAATGTTACAACATTAAAATGTCACAAACAATTGGAAACAAGGTATATTTCCTCCAAATAATACTGTTTTCTCTATCAAACAACAATCAAACAACATGGTTTGCTCCAATGAAACAACATTTTTATTCAAACAAAATGATATTTGTTATTAAATTCTGTTGTTTATACCAAACAAACCCAAATCAATGAATCAAACACATATATTAATTCAGAGAATATGCTAATTCATATACTAATTATACATGTACTAATTCATATACTAAATTCAGAGAAATCTTTTTCTCTGTGTAACTTTCGAAGGTTGAAGCGATTATGCAGCTTGCAAACACCGTCAATCTGCGTTGTAAATTATTAATTATATGTCCTGATATGTAACTCGCGCTTGGAGATGCTGTTATGACGTTTGTCTTCCGACTGAGGAGTCTTCCGTTGCGAGGAGATATTCCGAGTTACATCATTGATTTCTCGCCCCCTTCTTCCACCCTTCCATTTCTATATAGTATAATAAACAATTGAAGGTGCGAGAGAAATAAATATATAATGTGCAAAAAAATATATATATGCAATGTGTATGCGATACTGTGCTGTTTAATTTATACACGCCTTTGCTTTCAAAATTTTTAATTACATTAGAACCACGCAAACTGTCTCATCTTCAAGTGAAAACCCCTACACCAGTATTTTTCGTGTTATAACGTGAGCTCCGATGATCCTCTCGAAGCTTTTAAAAGTCTCTCTGTCCCGCTATCTAGAATCCAATTCAAGATACCTGGCCACCCAGTCGACCCATGATCCATCGTACTCTCCGGCAAGGCCATGCGGTCGCACGCGGTGCATCGTACGCGCTGGGTGCAACCGTACTCGGTACAACTGCACTCGGCGTAACACTTGGACTGTGAAAGGAAAGTATGCTCTCTCTCTCTCTCTCTCTTTCTCTTTCTCTCTCTCTCTCTCTCTTCCGTCCGTAGTGGAACAAAGGGCTGGGACGGCATCGCGCAGGCTTCCCTCGCGCGATTCAGTTGTAGATTGTTACCGTTGATCTACTTTGCATCACGATGTTGACAGTCATGTAAACAGAGCGGAGACGCCCTTGTTTTAACGGAGGGAAATATAGACATATGATACCATTACCCATGCGAAGAGAGAGAAAGAGAGACCGAGAGCGACGAGTCATCCGTGATATTATTCTACGCAATATTAAAAGGGTCTTCTCGTACGTTCTTTTCGTAAATAAACTGAATTTGAAAATGATCCCATTAGTTTGATTATACACCGATTTTTGAAGTACCGAAAGATATAATTGCGCAGTTAGCGACGAAAGCGTTCTTTAAAAAGTCATTAATATAAATTTAGATTATTCATTGATTTACTTATGAACGCTGTTATCTGCACGATTAGTATTATCAGATGAGTGTTACACGCGGACGACTTAACGTAGGTCAGCAGCCGTTCGGTGCAAGTGCACTCGGGCTTAAACCGAAAGGGGGGGGGGGAGGATACACGCGCACTCGACGGCAACCTCGACGAAGAAACTAGTTTTCAATCACGATGCTTTTTCATCGAAATTTGATCGGGGATCAGAAAGCGCATTTATAACGTGTATTTATCCACCAACGTCACATGGCACGTGGATTTTCTGATACACCCGCTGACACTTTGTCCCATCGGACAACAAAGATAAAAGCGGTTTTAATTATTAGTAATATTCCATTATTACACGCGCATTATTGAAATCGGAGGAGTAATAAGAAACTCGACTGTGTGACGCATCGCAGCGTCCTCGGGAGGCGAGCAGCAGTTTTCGCTTGAAACGCGTACGCGGGCAAAGTACGAGGGGTAAACACGCGCATGTCCCGTAGTAATGTGACGTGGCTTTATGCGATAATCGTTATAATTTAACATCCTTCTATTGTGTATGCTTCACTTGAAGAATCTCAAGAGCTGTGCCTTCCGAAAAATCATAGGCCGAAGAAATAAAACGCCAAACCGAATTGTCGAGCAAGGTAAACAACACGAAGAGGAAACGTAAGAAATTACAACAACAAATAGCTACTCAACGTGCGTAAATCTTCGTAGACGTAGCCTGTGCGCGTTATTTTATTTAGTTGCAGACTTCCGCTACAGGATAGCCGCCGTATATACACCTGTACGTCTTTTCACGCCGGTTTCACTGTGATGGAAAGTCGAGCGCGATTTTGTTCGCGCAAATAAAGCATCTAAAGTCAACTGGAGCGAATGCAACGGCGAGCGACTCGCAAGATCAAAGTTTGTTATTTCTATCGTAAGATAACAATAGCTCTTTATTTACAATCCCAATAGTCCCATATTGCACGTATCATGCAACGGGTTGCATTGATGAAGGCATTCGAGCCGTAACTTTCGCGCATGTGCGATGTGACTTTAAAATTACATTTAATTGCTCACACATACACAAGATACACACATATGTACATACGCGAAACACATACGCAAAACAAACACATACATATACTATTGCATATCTCTCTCCAGGAATTAATCGCACCGTTGTTTAATTGCGCGCATAAAGAAAGATACCTGTGGAATCGTGCTGCGAAATTTATCCCCTGTCACATCGGAGCGTGCACTTTAGTGCGCTCAATAATGCAAATGCACAGAGCCAGAGTTTTAGCCCGCCTATTTAGGCAGCCGAGAGCGGTGTAGCGCGCGCGCGCGCGTATCGCAAACGTGTGATCATATTTATTTCAAAATCGCCGATACATCTACATGTCTAAACTCGTTCTTTAAACGCTTTTAAGTTGGAAAAGAAAGCTTCTATTTTTCGAGAGAGAAAGAGAGAAGGAGAGAAAGAGGAGGAGAGAAGGCGCTTTCGTTAATTAGTTCGGTGCTTAGTATACATTGTTTTTTACTAGATCGGTTAAAAGCAAATAAAATCTCTTTTTGACATACAAAAGTATTTGTGTTAAAGATATAAGAAATATATTCCACTATTTACTCTCCTGTCAAATTTTCTTCACCACTAAAAGAATCATTAACGTACGGGACAAAATTTACATTCCTCAACTTCATTGATACCGCGTTCAAAGTGTGGTGCAGTCTCATTCTATATCCTAACGCGTATAATTTCCAAGTGAAAGTATGCAGCAAAAGCAATATTTGAAACTTTTTGTCTAATTTTCCATCTAGTTTTCAAATAAAAAGATGTAAATATTTTTTTTTATCAAAAAGGTAAAATAAAATGTAAAAATATTTATCGAAATTCTTAAGAGGAATTTGTCAGAAATGTTGGAATGTAAATATAATTTAAGCATCTCTCGTACCCCCTCCTACCTTTCCTTTCTCTTTCTTTCTCTCTCTCACCCCCTGTCTCTCACTCTCTCTATCCCTTTACGTGCACCCCGTATATTTGCCATTTTAATTTGGAGCAACGCATGGCTCGCAGCGAGGCGACATACGCCACGACTAAAGCGCGCAGTAGCGATCTTGTGGCGTGAGAGCGAGACGGGGAATCCGTGGTGAGTGCGCGGAAGAAAGAACGCGAGATAGGGACGGAGATAGGAAGTCGCGATGTGGGAGAGTTGCGATGAACTTGACGTGGAACACTTGACTTCAACGGCAGTGGCGGAGATTGATTCGTACAAATACGACATGTCCGAACCGATGGAGCAGGGAAAGGTGAGCGTACCCTTTTTCGTGTGGTCGTCGGGCGAGGTCCTGTAGGATAACTCGTCGGTGCAATCGAGCCTGATCGCGCTCACGATTGTGCGAGATGACGTTCTGCGAATGCACCCGCCCACATGTATTCGTTGCATGTCAATGAAAATTCGATGCTGAGTAAACAGTTGCGGCAGCATGGGAGCAATGTTTCGTTTAATCGTGTAAATGCAGCACTTGCTGCAATTTGATCGAAGTACTTGGTGTCCCGCGTTTTCTTTGTCGGACATATAGGTTAAGTTTCACTCAACTTCTGTATTTCGTGACTGAATTTCAAACGATTAATTTAGTTTTCGCGATCGTAGGAATTAAGCACGAGCGATTCTTGCCGATTATATCAATATAATTTGCCTTTGGCATTTCGTGACTGTTTATAAACAGTACAGTGGCAGGCACCCCTTATTGGCTGATGGTTGTCAGTCATTGTATTTCATTGCTGCCCACGTTAATGTTTGATGTTGATGCATTGATATAATGTCTGAGAGATGCGATTATTACACATCTAATGTGATATAATAATTTTATAATAGATCTGATTTATTAAATCTATGCACAGGATCTCTGTATTCATACGGGCGTTGTGCTTCGTGGAGCAAATACCAGAGAAGATGTTCACAGTTCTGGCACGCTTAACATTGTGGAATATGTAAGATTTGTGTTATTCTAGTCAGTATTATCACTGTATATAAATATGTTAACATAAAATTCCTTTATTGCCATATTATAGAGTTTTGGTAAATGTATAGAATGGAAGCCTGTCGAAGATTCTGTGGTATCCGAATATCAAGATCAAGATCCAGAATGGTCTTTAGTAGACACACACACTAGAAGGACTCGTACATCCTCAGAGGGTGCAGACTCTTTAGGACGTACAAGAAATGTTAGAATACTATTCTCTGATCTGAAGTCGTTTCGTGTGAATCATAGTGGACAACAGCTCATCCTTATGCAGAGGGATGGTACCACCTACGTTGCCTTTTTTCAGCTCTCTAATGCTGAAAGTTTCATCAACTCTCTAAAAGGATTTATCAAATTTGTAAAATCACGCATGGATAGGAACTTGTATCTTGTTATGGACCAAGTTGAATCGGTATTAAACAAATCCTTTGCTGAGTTAGATCTGTTTCAAGAGAACACCTCCGATTACGTATGGAAATTTGTAAAGAATCTACACAATCGTCCATATGAAACAACAATGGAGGCATTTAGCAAACTCGCAGATATCTGGTGTAAGTGGATTTCATAACTTAGGATTGATATATTTCAAATCATCATAGAAAGCATTTATTGTAACAATAAATTGAGGTATATATAACATGTATAATATATATAAAATATATAACATCACAGTGTATAAGGAACCAGTGAAACGACCTGTTGAGGAAGCTGTCGCTGATTTGTTAAATCGCTCTCTTACAATCGACCCTCAGCCACCTATATCTGTATCTGTTGGATCTGGAGATGAGTATGAAGTGATTGGTGTTGGAACCGATTTACCTCCCAGACCACCGTGTCCGCGTGGTAAATATATTAATTTAGATATTATATATTAGAAAATTTGCTCATATTATAAGATATTCATCAATCGAAAAAAAAGAGCTAATTAGACTTAGAACGCAAATTTTCTTGAAAATATGAATTCATGATTGTTATTAGGTACACCATTGACACTGGAACAATGGGAGAGATCCAAAGACTCAGAGGGAAGAATTATTAATCCAGAAACTGTTAGAGAAATCATCTTTCGTGGGGTACACATTTAAATATATTTAACTTAAGTGATGTTAGTACTTTTAATATATATTAATAACATAATTTACGGTACGTGTGTGTGTCAATCCATTAGGGTATTTCTCCACCACTACGTTTTGAAGTATGGAAATACTTATTGAATTATTACCCATGGAATTCGACAAGTAAAGAAAGAGCATATCTACAAAGTGAAAAGACTGACGAATATTTTAGGATGAAATTACAGTGGCGTTCATTTACACCGGAACAAGAGAACCGGTTTTCTGATTATAAGGAAAGAAAAAGTCTGATAGGTAATAAATGAAATATCTAAAAATCGCTCCATTTTTATGAGCTTATATTTTGAATCGATTATAAGTATTTTTTTTTTTAATTTTGTTTCAGAAAAAGATGTTAACAGGACAGACAGAACACACCCTTATTATGCTGGAGATAACAATCCTCATTTGGAGCAGTTAACTCATATACTTATGACTTATGTAATGTACAATTTCGATTTAGGATACGTTCAGGGTATGAGCGATCTTCTTAGCCCTATCTTGTTTCTGATGGATAGTGAGGTCGATGCATTTTGGTGTTTTGTTGGATTCATGGATAAATTGGTAAGTTTAATGTTCCTTTTTGCGTAATTATATATATATGATATCAATACTACTGACACTACGTGACTTTTACTGTTTTAAAACAGAGCTCTAACTTCGACATCGATCAAGCCGGCATGAAAGCACAATTGTGTCAATTGCATACCTTACTATGTACCACAGAACCGCAATTAGCTTATTATCTGAATAGACATGACTCTGGCAATATGTTCTTCTGCTTTCGATGGTTGTTAGTACTTTTCAAGAGAGAATTTAACGCGATCGATATAATGAAATTGTGGGAGATACTGTGGACGGATCTACCTTGCAAAAACTTCCACTTGCTCTTCTGCGCGGCCATTTTGGATACGGAGAAGAATATTTTAATAGAAAACAATTACGGATTTACGGAAATTCTGAAGGTAAGTCGAAACATTTTTTACCTCGTTATGGCGATAAATGACAATTGTTACTTGGTGAAGTCTAGTACAACATGCAATATTCTATTGTTCACAGCACATAAACGATTTGTCGCTTCACATCGAGCTGCCTTGGACGCTCTCGAAAGCAGAAGGTATTTATTATCAACTTATGTCTGTAGCAGATCAACTTCCCGATAGCGTTCGTATAATCATCGGACTGGAGCCATTGAATAAAACGTCAATAAATAATAGTATAAACGGTGGCGAGGCGTCCGGTAATCATTCTCAGGCTACAACAGTTGCTAACGGGTCAAGGAGGAATAGTTCAACGAGTGGTAGTGTTAAATTTGGAGAAAATGAAGTATCGTTTGAGCGCGGGTTAGATTTGTCGTATATGTGAGGTCAGGACTGGTCTTTCATAGTGATTCACTGACAGAGAAATGATTAAAAGTCTATTGGACTTGATCAAATATCTGTTGCGACGTTCGTCCGAGATCTTACACATTACTATTTGGAAAATATTGTTGCGACAATAATTTCCATGCAGCTCTCAACGAAATTGAATCGGACGTCAATCGTACTCGGAGTAACGGAATATGTGGACAAGAAGAAGAAAAAGCACGTTCCTACACACAGATGTATCATATTGGTCAGATTTGTTTTTATTTAAATAGTAAATGAAGTACTTTCTTTTCTTCTTTGAATGTTGTAATTGACTGTTGAGCCTGAAATTCTAAAGCATAAATTATGTGAACGTGACGTTTACCTCGTGTTTGCGAATGTAGTACGCAAGGTAACTAATAGTAGTGTTGAATTTTGAGATATTTATAACTTAAGGAGCGAAAGAGGGGTTATAGAACGTGCGTACGTGCAAAAAACGAGATATTATCAGTGTAAAAAGGGAAAAAGAACTTACGATATCTAACGTGCGATTTTCAGATGCGAAAAACGGAACAAAGACATAGCAACACCTTCGGACTTCGATAAGTGTTATACACGCATCATTCTCAATTAAGTTAGAGCCTCTTTTTTAGATTTATATAAAGCCTCATGACACGTCACTGTATATTTCTAATAAAGATCACGTATTTAATCTTTCATATATTTTTGCTGACCAGTTTCTTCATTTCTGTTTTTGGTCGTTCCGCATTTCGCTCTGTTCAACTCTTCATTTTTTTATTAATATGATTCATCGTCGAGAATCAAAAGAACTTTTATTTCTCATTGATACATAGAAACAAAAGTATGTCGGACTTGATATTTAGTTGTGCTGCTGAAGAATCAAAAATTCACTTGATGCTTGGATAAGTTGTATTATTTGCAAATAAAAGATCTTTTAACGACGTTAAGTCATATTGTTTGAAAACAAATAGGTCGTCTGATTTTGCAAGATACTTTTGGCAATTATTTAACGATATTTTGCTACAAGAAACACATGAAACTTTCGGCACTCCCAAACAATAATTCACACATAAGACAACTTCAACGAGCTGAAATAACGGAAAGGAAACGCTCAATGAAATACACGTCGCATAAGTAGGTTTAATTATGATTATTTATTTGTTTACTAGAAATTGTGCAATTCAAAGTATACAGAGTACTCGAAAATAGTTGATACTCAAAATGTTGAAATAAACGATGCCATTGTAAAAATGCAATCGCTTATGATTGCTTGATTATTGCCGAAACTTCTTAAACGATCGTTCGAAAAAGCCGCGTCAAGAACGTATGATGTCACGCGACTCTACGAACCGCGGCAGTTTCGCGTCGTTCCGCGACGGTTCGAACACGATCGCGTCGCTCCGTATACGATGCATCTTTTAACCGAATTCCGCGTACAGACGAATATCGGGAATCTCGAGTCAAATACGGGCGATCGTTTCGATGCGTTATTCGGTTCGCGCGAGGCCGATTAAACGTGATATCTCCCAATGCTCGTAACCGACTTCCACCGTGTCGCGTCGGGAACATGGAGTCGGATGAGTGAAACGACGTGCATGCATTTCTTCCCATCGAAAGAAAGAAATCGCTCGACATTCGGCATCTACGTTGTGTTCGCGTACTTTGGCAGTCTTACATCTTTGACCTTCACTAACATGGAATGGTGCAAGGAACCAAATTTGTTCCTATCACGGGCAAGATTCTGTAAAAGACCGTTAGGCTTGTGCCCACAAAATGGCGCCTGAAACGAACATGCCTAAGAACGTTAACAGGTATCGACATTATCGACGCTTCATAACGGTGTTTAGTCATCAATGGCTCTTACCAACGCTCGTATGAGAAGAACACAAACAATAATAATAATGGCGTCTATTCCGTGCGAGATAAATATTTGATCTAGACAAAGCACAAATTGCGTCCTGCCAGGCATGGAATTTGTCCCCACGAGACGAAATAGGAAGTGTAAGAAAAAGCGACATTGGCGAAAACGACTACGCGATCAGATTCGAGTCGAGGTTGAGGTTAGATCCTCGAAACATCGGAAGATTACTCCCGGGCATGCCAATACATTTGTTGTGCGGGGACCATCAACAAGTACGATGCAAGCCGACGCTTTTTGGAAAAATTATACCGCGGCTCAGGATTGGCAAACAAAGTAAGTTCGTCAAGTAAACATTTCACTCTATGTTTCCTTTTATTACTACCCTTGCCGCCGATTTTGTTCTTGTTTTTAGTGAACAAATTTATAAATATTTATTAGAATATTGGAAGGATAATTAAGATTTGAACGTCGAGTGATAGCGGCAATTTTCTCGCAAAGGAATTTATCGTTTTAATAGGTTATTATTGTTGTCGCTTACAGGCACAATGTAACTTGGTGGAGGTCACGTTGCATGGCTCTTGAACATGAAAATGAGATATTGCGCAATAAAATCAGGTCATTACTTAACCAATCCGACTGTCCCGATATTATGTTAGCTAAAGCTAACTATCATGAAGAAAATACCAATGAAGAGCAGGAAGAAGCAGCATACAATGAAGAAGCTGAAGAGCTGGAATTTACCGTGACTGAAGAGATGCTGAGGTTTTTTGAGAAAAGCGAGAGACATAGGAGAGAAATGAAGCAAAAACATAAATCCGATAAGGCCAAGTGTAAGAAAGAAAGCGTAGAAGGTAATCTTATTACTGATGGTGCTGCGAGTGCTCGTGCAAGGAAAGAAGAGGCAAATGAATTGTACGGTGATGCGAGTTCCAAGATACTGGCGATGGAGACTGCTCTACAGGCTACGTTGGACAATTATAAAGATAAAGTAAAACCTCAATTTTGGCCCAATATCCCACTTAAACCTTAAAATAGTTAATTTAATCTGGTTTTGTCTCGTTGATAAATTCTCGATATACTCGAACATATTTCATAAATATATACACGCCATTTTGTTATGTAAATTATAAAATAACATTAATGATATATTGACAAAACGTTAAGTTAGATCCTGGTACGTCCTAACTCATCCTAGCTCATCTTGTTGCATCCTATCGTTGGTCCAGCATTCCTCTGTTGGTGCAAGTGGATGACCGAGTGATGGCGTTACTTTGGTGTTTGCGCATCTCTATCATACGCACATGTGAATACAGAAATATGTTCCTGTGCGCGTGTATGTAACGAAGATATACAGTTATAAATAAAATACCATTATTTCCTCTTGAACTTTTCCATGAAGTCACAATTCCTTGCTAATGGAATCAATTATCCTCGTTACATATTCCCCGGATAAATAATCAACGAGTCAACCTCCCCAAACAGAGGTCAAATCATTTTCGCAGCTAATATTTCCGATAGTTGCGTGATATCAGCCGGTCGAAAAATTCCGTTCGGATCCTTCGGTTTTGCGAAAACGAACAAATTACATCAACGATCTGCGAGATCGGACTTATACGTAATTCATGGAGCTCTTGGTCGAATCGCCTCGCGTATACATTGAAAAGACAGAGGCCGAGGTGCGCAAGACCCAATCGCGCCAGAGGCAATATCAAGTTGTTTCTCTTGTCGGGTCGCGCAGCAACGGTGCGGCCATAAATGACACCTATCATATGAAATACACCGGAGGAAGCAATTAATAGCTAATCTAAACGACGGGGCAATTACGTTCACATATTATTATTACTCGGATCGGAAATAATCGATCGGCAGCGTCGTGCCTGAAAAATGATATTGCCTCCGCGATGCGGTAGCACGTAGCCTGTTACACACTCACACATACACGCACACACATACGTAATGACGTGCGCGCACGGACGGGGTGCATCGAAAAAAGATAGAAAAGACGAGGAAGCGCAGGAGGCGAAGAAGCGTTCGCGAAAAGTTTTAACTAACTAACGCGGCACGGAGTGCGATATAAAGATCGACGCTTTAGCACCTGTTCAATTTTATGGATTTTATTGTGCGTATACGCAAAGTGCACTGTTTTCATATTTTCTGAATATCGTCGGCGAAAGTGCTGACGGCGCGCGAGGAGGAAAATGCATATTTTATGAATATCTCGCACATTTATGTAAACCACTTTAGCAGTCCGGTTACCGCGAAGACGCCGGGACGTTTACTGCGATAAGTAATAACAGTAGTCCTACGGTCGAGGGCCCTGGCGATGCCGGGGCGTGGAAGATCTTTCGACAATCGGGAAAGCACAGCGTGCAAAAATCGATCTGCGGATTCCCGTGTATTCGCGTTCCCGGTAAATCGGCGTCAATCGCCGATCTCGCCGTCGCCGTTCGCGTGTGTCGAATCGCTCGTGCTGAACCGTCCGCTTACCGTGCCTCCGTAACTCAATTATCGCGCATTGTGTTCGTGCCTTTGGTACGCCACCACGGCGCATAGGTCTGCCGAGCGATACCAACGAGAAGGTGCCGAGACTTTGGCTTACTCACGGTGTGTGCACCAAGACCCTGCGACTCCTGCGCGGACAACGCGAAGTAGTTGATATTAAGTATGCGTGGCCGACCCCCTTTGTCATCAATTGAACATGGAATTGATAGAATGTCGACTCGCTCGTTTCTTTCCTGAGAAAACGCGAGCCGTGAAGTCTCCTTTGCACGAAAGTAGACCGTGTCGATAAACGAGCGAGCCGTGAGATATAATAATCATTTTATCGAATGCAATAAGACGAAGGAAAAGGAACAATTGTGTGTGTCAGGTACAAATTAAGTATTTACGCATAAAAGGCTAGAATGCCTCGCAACGAGACCCAAATCGATATAAGACATGCGTGTTGGTGATACGCACGTAACATACGAGTGCATGAGCGTATAAAGTGACACGCGACATATGAGCTGAGCGATTTAAAAGACAGATAAAAAGGAGAATGTACTCAGGATGAGGTAAGGTGGGAGGTAATAAGGAGGGCAACGGCGAGTCAAGACTAAAAGAAAGACGGATGGTAAAACATATAATGAATTAAAAAAATATAAGTCATATTTCTCCTTCATTTCGGACATAAAACGCGTTTATATATTCACGAGTTGATATTTTGGTTCTACAAAAAATAGCAAAAAAACAATTCCGTTGATGTAACTGAATTTTCCGTTGCCTGGAGACCAGACGAAAACTCGGTTGTAGGAGCGAAAAGATTTACATAGAGGTTTCTACTCAGCCAATTGTTCTCAGTTGAGATTGGTATTGTCTAATCTAACAGAATTGCGTCAACAGCGCCATAATTGGATGATACATTATGAATTGTTTTAATAACTCGATTATTAGTTTTAATAATATTGCTATTGAATCAAAGAGATTTACTCCAATTGCGACGCTGTTGACCAATTCCATTGATACAGCAGCATTTTTTTCAATATATATACAGCATCATTGGACGCAATTGCTATCTTTACTCTTGCAATTTCATTTTGGAGTCTCCAAATCCGATCGAAATTCAAGTTTGATGGAAGCTGCAAGATTAATGTAGAAACAAAATTTCGACTGGGACACGAAATCATATATTGCCGGTCGGGTTCATATTTCGCGGGATTTCTATCGAGTCATCCTCGAGTTGTTGCGACGGAAAAGATTCCCGAGCGTGAACAACGCGTTTCGATAATGGGAGACAACGTACCGTTGGATGATTCGGGAAAATGGGAGGGCAACATCGTGATGTATCGGAGATAGATCGGAGCGCGGGGGAGTTCGGTCGAATCGTCAATGCGTTATCTGTAGACGGAAACCACCGACAAGGGCCGTAGGATTCTCAAACCAGTTCGTGAGACCCCAACATCGATACCTCCGCCCGGCGAAAGCCCCTAATTATCGAAATAACGTGTGTCGCAGTGCCGATACGGACCATACGTTCTATCTTCCTCCACAATCCCACGGGATATCCGAGCGTCGTTTCGCCTCTTTCTCAGATCTAAATTATTCCCTAGTTGAAACTCGGTATCTCGCTCGAAGATAAATGTAGACACAAAGAGAATTAAGGTTACCTACATTGTTTATTCCAGATAGGACCGAGTTTGTCCCATAATTGAGACATTCGTGAGAATAGGACGAGTTACCTCAATGAGTTATCAGTGAAAAAATTGACAATCGTCGTTTTAACGATTTCACGATTACCACTGTCGGTACGCCGTATTTATCGCATTTGTAAACATATACGATAATATACACACGGCGCACCTGCGCGATATGGCTGATTCGGTATCTGCACCGCGCACAATATTTATTTTATTTTTATTCGACAAGCTACGACTTATATGAATGGCAAATTTCCAATCAGTGGAGGATACGTAACATGCAAAACACTCTTCTTCTCTTTTTCCCACTAAACCGGTCGATCCTACGCAAAGTACTCAGGAGAGGCGCTTTATATTCCCCTCTACAACTTTCATTTAGATCTTTATCGATCGACTTTCTCAATGTGCTCACGTATTGCACTTCATTGCTTCGCCTCCCGACGTCCGTTCGCGTACTTTCGCGCACAAATGCAATATCGAGGGCACGTGTATTAAATTCGCTTTTCGCTTCGTTATATCGACGGAAATCGTTACGGAGCTTTCACAAATCGCTATAAATATCAATTAATCGCTAACGAACTTTATTGTGCCACTGCGCCGTGGATGCGACTCGCTGAAAGCTCTCAGACGCGTTGGAAAGTCGGGAATTAATAACATTACATGAAGAGCGTGAATGAAAGATAGAAATGTTAACTCGCGAATATACACACGCATGATCGTACGACGCACGCGCACACCATTCACCCCCTCTGCGATCGACCCTTGCTTATGAGTAAGCATCTCCGCGATTTTATTACGTTAATGCATCTTTTCATCGCCCCGTACTTTCTCGCTTCTCGCTAAACGCCGTGCAGAAGTAAAGATTGCAAAGTTGATATTTCTGAGTGCACACTTTCGTAGTTACAGACTGCTCGTGGCAATTTGTCTTCAATTACGCGAATCCTCATTTCGCGAGCGGGAGACACGCTCTCCGAGCGACATGCGGGAGAAAAAAGGCAGGGAAAAGGGAAGAGAAAGAAACCGAGGAGAGCACTCGTTTCGACGGAGTGCTCGGGATCTCTCACCCCGGGCCTCGTCAATTCCCAGAGGTCGCACACGACTCCGAGTTCCTTTTTTCCGCGCGCAATTTCGTCCTCCTCTACCTGCTCCCGCCGCATCGGCCGCCGCGCCGCATCGCGCCCCAGAATCGTCCTACCGTGCATTTGCAATCTCATTGGGACGTTTTAAGGCCCACCTTTCGTGCAAGATGGCGCCGCCGCGCGCGCGGACAAGGGGGAAAAAGAATCGCGGCCCGGCGAAGAGGGAGTGCGCTTGCTTTTTATCGCGTTCGTGTCATTAGCGGCCGCAATGAGTCCTATAAGTTCGTATCGGGGACCCAGGGGGAGAGAATGAGAGAGAGAGAGAGAGAGAGAGAGTCCGCGCGAGTCGTCCGGGAGGACGACGTGGACGAGGACGTCGTGGAGGCACCTACGACCGCTCGCCTTATTAGGCCCTCTATCTCCCTCCCGCCCTGCTTGGACTCAGCGTCGCCGTTTGCCACACACCCCCCCCCCCCCCCNCCTCCCTTTCTCCCTGTAGCTCTTAAAATCATGGCTGCACGTAACCGTCTACTGATTATATGGATTCGGCGATGATTTCTGATGATGCCCCCGACCCCCGAAATGGTAAAATAATACAGTGTCGTGTCCTAGCCCGGACCCTTTGGGTTCCGTGGGCCGGTTCGTTAGCGGGGCCTTGGCGCGAGGCACCCTGTCATTATGCGGCTGGTCTCCATCACCCCCACCAGTACCCAATTTTCGGCGCCCCTCCACAGAACGCGGCTCGACAAATCCCCCTGCTCCGCAGCCCTCCTCTCGCTCTCTCCGTCGTGCTCTTCTCTCATCTCCTCTCCTCTCCTCTCGGCAGGATCTTCCACTTGGCGCTACTATTCTACGCCGTCGCGGCTGCGACGTCCCCGATGCGCGTCGCGTGAATCGTCGTGAGAAAGTATTCCTCCGACCTCCTCTCTCCGCTTTCCATCGCGCCGACGGTGCACCCGAACAGGCGCGTTACGTGTCCACGGTTGTTAACTCTTTTTCAGAACGGAATAGGAAGGGATCCTTAAAATGTCAGGGAACCCCGCGAAAATTGTATTTGTGACGTTTGTAAGTGCCTCTTCACGTTTTGGTCATCGTGCCGCTGCGTTGAGCGAAGTACTTTGTACTTAACGCC